CCCTCCCCTTCCCTCTGTCCCTCTCCCCCCTCCCTCACCCACCCACACGCAGCCTCTACAAAACCTACCGCCGCCGCGTCGCCAAGTTCTGGGCTCCCCTCACCCCGCTCAAGGGCCTCTATCTCGCCCTCACCGGGGGCCGTCGCGCAAAGGTCGACAGGCGCATTTGGGGGAGCAGGGAGGGGCAGAGTGAGGCGAAGACGCTCAAGAGGCAGTGAGGGGCGGGAGGGGGGCTGAGCGAGGAGGAGCGAGGAGGAGAGAGAAGGAGCGGGGAGGAGGAGAGGGGGGGGAGCGAGGAGAAGAAGCGAGGAGAAGAAGCGAGGAGAAGAAGTGCTGCAAATCTAGCCTTCGGGCACGTGTACATAGACCCATGACGAGCTCGCTTGACCAACGAGCGTGCAGCAGCGCAAGCGAAAGAGAGAGAGAGAGAGAGAGAGAAACGGTCTCGAGGCGAGGAGAGGCTCGAGCGGGAGCTCCTCGCTTGCTCGCTCGCGCCCTGGCCGCTCAACCGGTGCTGTGCCGCATGGCCCGCTCGCGCACGACCAGCTCTCGCCGGCGCAGCATCCCTCGAGGGCGGGTTCGAGCCTGAGCCCGAGGCGGTTCAGGTGGGCAAGCCGCTGCTCACCGACCTGCTCCTCGCCTCTCAGGCTCGCTCTCGCTCTCGTCGTCTCGCTCACGAGCTCTCGGAAACCCGACAGAGAGAGAGAGGGTGCACAGTCCATTGCGGCGGCTCTACAGGAGAAGAGTCGGTACAGCTCGCGCTTCTTGGCTGAGCGGCGAGCGAGGGGCAGGGGGATAGAGAACGAGGTGGAGAGGTTGGGGTGAGGAGGGAAGTGGACAGGGTTTGTCGGCAAGCTCAGGCGAGGTGCGTCGGCTCGGCGCGGCGCCAGAGCCACCCGCCGTCGCTCGAGCTCGAGGTTGAGGTCGACGACGCCGCCGACGCTGACGCCGACGGAGCGACCGCGGCCGCCGCCGCCGCCGCCACCGACGACGTGTTGCCCGTCCAGCCCCACATGACGTCGATGACGCCGAGGTCGAGGTTGTCGCCCGAGAGAGCCGAGAAGACGGGGACCGAGAGGTCGAGCGAGGCGCTGCGGGCGAAAGCAAGGAAGGAAAGGAAGGGGTGCGAGCGTCAGTGACCGGTCGGCGCGCAGAAAGTGGCCCGAGCCAAGGACAGAGAGAGAGAGAAAGGGGACGCACTCGCCGACGCAGAGCGCACAGCGCTCGGTCGCCCAGGCCTTGATCGAGAGCCCGTTGGCGAGGTTGGTGACGAGGAGCTCGGCGCCGCAGTAGCTGCTCGGCGTCGTCGTTGAGCCCTGCGTCGAGTGAAGCCACTGCGAGAGAGACGAACAAAGTCAGGCGTGCTCGTGTGTGGGCGTGCAGGAAAGAGAGAGAGAAAGACGCACCATGGCGTTCGAGAGGGCGACGACAAAGTCCGTCTTGTGAGCGGCGATGCCGCACGGGCCGTAGTGCTGACCTGCGCCGAATATACTTGTCAACCACCGACCTCGAGCAACGTAGCAGGAGGGCGGGAAAGAGGGAAGCAGGCGACGCACTGGCCTCGAAGTAGGTGCCCTGACCTTTGAACGTCTGGAACGCCTCGGGCTGCGTCGCCTGGTACACCTCGGCGGCGGCGAACGGGCCGGCGACAGCAGCAGCAGCCGCAGCGCCGGTGACACCGTCAGGGTTCCACGCCGGAGCTGCGGGCGACGGCGACGGCGAGGCCGACGGCGCGCCCTGCCAGTCGCCCGAGCCCGGAGCGGCGGCCGGCGTCGCCGACGGACCGGCTCCACCCTGCGACGCCGGCGAGTCGGCGTGCCACGAGCCGTCCTGCACCGCAGCCGTCTGCTGCTGCGCGCCGTCGACCGTCGGCGCCGAGGTGGTGGCGGCGGCGGGATCGGCGAGCGGCGTCGAGACGACGACAGGGCCGGGCCCGAGCTGGATGGACGAGAGCGGCGATGCGGCCGACTTGTGCTGCTGCTGGCCGTCGACCGCCGGGAGGATCGACGACGCCGACGAGGGCATCGAGACGCCGGCGGGCATGGTCGTCTGGGCAAAGACGTCGGCGGCGCCGGTCGAGGTCGCGCTCGCGCTCGAGTCGGTCGTCGCGGACGCACAGTCGGCAGCCGACTGCTCGTGCGCGCCGGGCGAGTTGGTCGTCGCGGCAGACGAAGCGCCCGAGGCGGCGTCGACGGCCGAGGAGGGCGACGCCTGCGGGTCGACCGAGCCGAACTCGCCCATCTGGGACGGCGCACTGGTCGTCGGGGTTGAAGCCGTCGTCGGGGTTGAAGCCGTCGTCGGCGTGTACTTGCCGTCGTTCTGGGCCGAGGCGGCGGCCGTGTCGGTCGCCGCGGCGGTCGGGGCAGAAGTGGCGGCGGCGGCGCTCGACGGGTGGTACTGGCCGTCGTTGACGGTCGCCGAGGTCGTCTCGGCGTGCGCCGTGTCGGCAGGAGAGTCGGAGGCAGTCGTCGAGGCGTGTGCGGCGTCGGACAGGGCAGAGGACGGGCTGGAGCCGGTGGACGACTCGGCGGCGTCGTGGTCGGCGGCGGCGGACGACTCGCCCTCGGCCTTGGCCGTCTCCTTCTTGTCCTGGACGACCCGGACGACTGCGCGCGAGATGGGAGCGTGAATGAGAGGGTGACAAGGGGAGGAAGGAAAGAGAAAGAGAGAGCGGGACGCACCGACAAAGACGATGAGCGCGACTGCGATAAGGACGATGAAGGCGACGAGGAGCCAGCACCAAATGGGCCACCTCGGCTTGCGCTTCTGCGAGCCTTTGCCCGGGCCCGGGTCGCCTGCGCCGCTGGCGGCGCCCTTCTTGCCCGACTTCTTCGACGACGACGACGATTTCGAGCTGCGCTTCGAGCTGCTGCGCTTGACGGCGCCCTTCTCGAGGTCCGACAGCGGCTCGTCGAGACCCTCGACGGCGTGCGGGTTCGGCACGCCGCCCGAGGCGGCCGGCTCGTCCTTGCCGAGCGCGTTCATGTTGCGGCGGCCCGAGCGGCTGCTAGTGCGAGTCGCCGACGCTGAGCGCGAACCCTTCTTGCCGTGCTTCTTGTGGTGGTGACGACGTGCGGCCTCGTTGTCGTCGTGGCCGAGGGCGTTGTAGCGCTGCGAGGTCTGCGGACGCCAAAGAAATGGAGGTCAGGACGCTGCGGTTGAGAAGGCGCCGCAGCTCGAAGGAGAGAGCGAGGACGCACCCTCGCACTCCCACCTCCAGCAGGACCCTTGCCCACGCTGCGCATGATGCGCTCGACGCGTCCCTCGACCGGCTGTCCTCTCACGACGCCCGCCTCGATGTCGCCGCCCGCATCGGCGAGCTCCTCCCTCAGCGCGCGCTCCTCCTCGCTGTCGGTCGACTCGCTGCTCGACGAGCTGTGCACCTTGGACCGCGCCGCCGACGAGCGGTGCGAGCGCGCCGAACCGGCGGCCGACGACGGCCGGCGAGGCGCGGCGGCGGCGCGTGCGGCGGGCGAGGCGGGCGAGGCGTTGACAAAGTCCTCGGCGTCGGACGAGGCCGTCGACGAGTCGTGGTCGTAGCGACTCTCGAGAGCGGGCATGGTGGCGGAGGTGGCGAAAGATGAGGGACGAAGGCGAGAAGGAAAGGGAGGATGAGCTCGAGGGCCGTTTGGCCGACGCTCGGAAAGGCCGCGGACCGTCCGGCGGACGGCGTGTGCTGCCCGGTGGCGAACAGGAGGTCGGGGTCTCCTGTCCCTCGTCGGTCGATCGTTGCCGGTTGAGGGATCGCTGCGAAAGAGAGACGGGGTCAGTGCGCTGCTTCGCCTCGTTTCGGGCGCGCGAAAGGGGACGATGGCAACTCACACAGGCGCGAACGACAGAGCACAGAACGAACGTCTCGTCGAGATTACAGGGCCGTGTACTGCAACTTGCGCGCCTTGCCGCGCCGAGGGATGAGCGGGTTCCGGCGCTGCGCCTCGGGCGTCGGCGCGAGGGGCGGCACAGGCGCCGGGCGATGCGGCGCCGGCGACGTGCTCATCTCGTGCGCCCAGGCGGCGTAGTCGGCGTAGTAGGCGAACCAGGACGGCGCGGGTGCGGGTGCGGGCGCCGGGGCGGCCGCAGTGCGGGTCGGGAACGACGTGGTCGGCGAGGCGTGGCTCGACGGCGGTGACCGAGGCGAGGCCGAGGGCTGGACGTTGCCAAAGTAGTCGCGGCCGACCACCGACGCCGGATAGTGCGGCACGGGCGCGGCGGCGGCGGCAGCGGTCGCGCCGTTCGAGAGCGGCCCGGTCGTCGACGACGAGTGGCCCGATGCCGAGCTCGACGACGACGACACCGCCGGGATCCCGCCGTAGTGGTACTGGTACGCCGCCTCGCTCGCGGCTTGCGGCACGACGCCGTCGCCCGGCGCGGCGTACTGCGCGCGGCCGAAGCGCGACAGGCCCGCCGTCGCCGCCGACGACGCTGCGGCGCCATTGCCGCCGCCCGAGTACGGCGGCGCGAGGCCCGCCTGCACGCGTCGCGCCTGCGCGTACACGTCGCCAGGCGGGAGCGCCTGCGCGCCGAACGCGGCCCTGCCGCCCCTCTGCGCGCCCGCTCCCGCTCCTCCTCCCCCTCTCTCTCGCGCCCACGCCGCCTTGACGCCCTCAATCCTCGGGTCCCACGCCCTCGCCCTCGCCTCGAGCCCATCCGGGCCGGGCCCGAGCAACGCGCGGTTCGCCTCGCGCCGGGCGAGGACCTCGGGCTTGAGCGTGAGGCCGGCGCGGCCGAGGAGGCTCTGCGCCGGGTCGAGGGCGTCGGTCGAGGAGGGGGTGAGGGACGACGAGAGCGAGAGGTAGGCCGTGCGGAGAGCGTCGCGGACGGCGCCGATCTCGAACGTGCCCGACGTGAGGTCGCGCGCTGCGGCGAACACAGACCTCTAGTCAGTCTCTTTCCGCTCGAGGAGAGGGCTCGCGACAGACAGGTGTCGCGACGCACCGAGGTCGACCGGATGCTGCACCGCCAACCGCTCCTCGTGCCCCTGCTGCTCGCCGAACCCAAACTCGGTCTTGGGCGCGAGGCGCCCGCCGCCGGCCGTCACGATGCAGTCGTCGCGGTAGTTGAACGTCCAGCCGTCTGTGCGGGCGCAGTGTCTGTGTGAGCTCGAGGAGGAGTGGGGGGAGAAAGAGAGGAAGGAGGAGACGCACAGTGGTAGAGGAACGAGAGGAGGTCCCGGCCGGGCGACGTCTCGCCGGGTGGTCGAGGGTCGAGCTGCGCGACAGTCGAGGTCAGGGCCGCACGTGAGAGGCTCGAAAGAAGGGTGCACGGCGCACCTGGATGAACGAGACCGCGAGGCAAAAGATGCCCAAGCCGCCGAGCCCACCGTACCGTACCTCGTTGAGCCCTTGGGCGTCGAGGAACGCCTTGAGGACAAACACGAGCGCCTTTGCGCGCATCTTGTCGCCCTCGCGCCTCGTCTCGAGCTCCTGGAGGAGCCTGAGGCTCTCGCGCGCGCCCTTTGGGCCCTTGTCGGCGTTGAACGAGACGTCGATCGCGAACGAGCCGAACGAGGGCGCCGTGACGAGCTTGACGAGCGGGACCTTGGCGTGCGACACGAGGCGGCCGGTCGACGCGAGGTGCGAGGCGAGGAGGGCGTTGCGGAGGGTGCGCAGGAGGAGCTCGGTCGGGCAGGTGACGAGGGACGGGTCCGAGATGACGAGGTCAAAGTCCTGCGGGAGCGCGTCTCTTGGTCAGGATCGCCTCGCCCACGGGTTGGAGGGGGCGACGAGGGGACGCACGCCGTGAGGAAGGTACAGGCCCGTCGCCATAGACCCAAACAGCTCGACGGCCGCAGTCGGCCAGAGGGTCGCGACGACCTTGGTGAGGCACGTGAGGGCGGCGAGGCGCAGACGCTGCTCGCCCTTGGTCGGCCGCACCGAGGCGACGAACGCGGCGACCTCCTCGTCAAGTCTGCGGGAGGTGGGTGCAGGGTCAGCGAGGTTCGAGAGGGGGAGGCGGTGCGGGCGCACAGGTCGATGGGCGGCCGGGCTCTGTCCTGGTCTGTGCGGCGCAGGAGGTGCATCCAGGGCGTGACACTGACGGCTGTCGGGGTCCTCGGCTGGCGGTGTGTCGCTGTCGGGTGCGAGTCGGCGCGTGCGGTGGTCGACGACGACGAGGCACCGGCGAGCGTGAGGGACGCAAAGGCCGAGTCGAGCGCGGTCGCCGGTGGGGCTTGCGGATAGGCCTGCATGGCTGCTGGGCGTGTCCCGCTCAGCAGTTGAGCGAGTGAAGATGGCGAGAGAGAGCCGAGCGAGTCTCATCTCTCCGAGGTTCATCGTCCTCCCTCTTTCGTCCCGCGCACTGCTCCAGAGGGGGCACAGCTGGTCCCTCGAGCTACCATGTCGACTTCAACAATGATCCTCGCGGGCGGCACCTCGTCCACTTCGACCGCCGTGCGTCCCTCCTCTCCTCTCCCCCACCTCCCCCCTCTCCCTGCGCCCGCTCACCTCTCCCTCCCCGCCCGAGCAGCCCTCCGCCGAGAACACCAAAGACGTCCTCTCCGAAGCGAACCGCTCCTCGTCGGCCATCATCGCCGCGTCGACCGTCGTCTCGTTCATCGTCCTCGTCCTCGCAGGCCTCCTCGTCTTCTTCCGCGTGTCGCGCAAGCTCCGCAGGCGCAGCGAGCAGCGCAGGAAACTCGAGGCCACGCGCGCAGAGGCCGGCGGCGGGACCACCGAGGGCGCGAGGGGCGGTGTGGCGGCCCAGAAGAAGAAGCGCGCAAAGGCGAGGAACGCGTTCGAGGACAAGGAGTGGGAAGGCGTCCCTGTGCGTGCTCATTTCTCTCACTCGCAGACCCGGCAGACCTGACATCACGTTCCCTCGCAGGCTTGACCTCCCTCTCGGCCTTCGCTCCCCCGCCTCGCCCCTCTCGTCCTTGTACCGCCGACCTGTTGTCGTACCACCCTGCATCGCCGCACACTTCTTTCTTGTCGCATTCACTCTCCGATCGTGTCACAGACGGAGAAGAGAGCGAAAGAGAGAGCGCATGCGTGGCACTGCAGCGAGACGCCCGAGGAAGCTCGCGAGAGAGAGAGAGAGAGCGGACGAGGAGGTCTAGAGTTCTACAACAACCAGGAGATGAGGCACAGAGGGAGAGCTAGACATCAGGCGCACATAGTCGAGGGGGCCGTGTAGTAAAGGGAGGGAGGCGAGACGAGGTCGAGGAGGGTGGTATGGACAGCGGGCAGGCGAGGGCGGGGTATGTGCGTGCTGCGAGGGCAAGGACGTCAGTAAACAGGCTCAAGCTCGAGCCACGAGGAAGCGAGAGAGAGAAAGAGGGACGCACAGTGATAACTTGACGAAGGAGAGAAAGAAAAAGGCGACCCTCACGCAGGCCCGGGCGTCGGCGAGCCCGTCATGCGCCTGATCTTGTCGAGCACGTCCTGGAGGCGGTACGGCTTGGTCGCGACCTGTGGCACGAGCGGAATTGTCAGTACGCAGTCGCTCGGGCGCGAGCGCGACGAGGCGAGAGCGGGACGCACGTCGTCGAACCCGGCGGCGAGGCACTCGTTCTGCTGCGCCTCGCGAGCGTTGCCGGTTACGGCGCACACGGGCTGCGGTGGAAGAAAGTAGAGAGTCAGTGACCATGCTCGAGGGCGAGTGCGCCAGCGAGAGGGCGAAGAGAGCGACGCACCCATCGTCGCGAGATCTCGCCGGCGGCTTCTCGTCGGCGCAGCTCGCGAATGGCCTCCAAGCCGCCCATGACGGGCCTGTGGAGGAACGGAGGGCAAAGAGTCAGTGTCGAGCGCGACTGAGAGGCGGGCAGGAGCGAGAGAGAGAGCGAAAGGAGAGACGCACATCTCGATGTCCATGAGGACAACGTCGATTGGCGTGTCGGCGCCGCGCCCGCCCGTCGAGAGCTGCGGGCGACAAGGTCCGTCAGTACTCGAGCTTCGAGGATGAGAGAGAGAGAGAGAGAGAGGAGCGCACCTTGAGCGAGTCGGCCATGAGCGCGTCGAGCGCCTCCTGGCCGTTGTTGGCGACCGTCACGTCGTAACCGGACATCTTGAGCTGCCGCATGAGGACCCTCTGGTTCACGAGGTTGTCCTCGGCGATCAACACCCTCCTCCTCTCCTCGTTCTCGCCTCCTGCTCCCGCGCTCGACGGGCCGACCGTTGGCGAGGGCGACGCCGGCGGGAGCGTGATGGGCAGGCCGGCGCCTCGCGCGCCCTTGTCGCCGCCGGCAAGGAGTGCCGACTTGGGAAGGCCGAGGCCGCCGGGCGGCGAGGCGGCTCGCTGCGCTCGCGACGCCGGGATCGCGAACCGGAACGTCGAGCCCTCGCCGAGCTGCGACTCGACCTCGATAAAGCCGCCGTGGAGCTCGATGAGCTTCTTGCTGACGTACAGGCCGAGCCCGGACCCGCCGTACTGGTCGCTCTTGGGGTTGGCCTGCGAGAAGCGCGCGAACAGGAGCTTGAGCTGCTCGGGGCTGAGCCCTTTGCCGCTGTCCTGGACCGAGATGACGACCCAGACCATGTCGTCCGGGCAAAGGAAGGACGGGTTGGGCGCGGCGACGCGCATGGCCGAGGCCGGCTGCACGGGCGGACCGGGCGACGCCTCGACGTGGACCGTGACGCGCTTGCGCAGCGAGTCGAGTGTGTACTTGAGCGCGTTGGTGAGGAAGTTGTACAGGACCTGCTTGATGCGCCCGGCGTCGGCCGCGATGAACTCGACCATGAGGTCGTCGAGCGACGAGCCCTTTTCGACGACGAGGCTGATCTGCTGCTGGTGGCTCTGGACCTCGAACGTCTTGACGACCTCGCGTACAGCTGCGACGAGGTCGAACGGGGCGACGTTGATGCTGAGCAGGCCCATGTTAAGCTTCGACACGTTGAGGATGTCGTCGGCGATGCGGCCCTGGTGCGACGCGCACAGGATGATCGACTCGACGGCCTCGACGTTCTCGAGCATCTCGTCGTACAGGGCGTCGAGAACGCGCTGCGGCGCGGCATGGCCGTGGCGCAGGCCGTCGATGAGCTCGACGTACTTGGCGAGCGACGTCGACACGACCTCGGCGTTCTGCCACACGCCGCTCAGCGGGTTGCGCAGCTCGTGCGACGACATGTCGAGGAACATCTCGGTGTTGCGGCGGTTCTCCTCGGCGTCGACGGCGCGCTGCTCGACCTCGCGGATGTGGAGCATCTCGATCTCCTTCTGGCGCGTGATGTCGGTGAGGGCGCCGACGTAGCCGTCAGGCAGGCCGACCTCGGTCGACGCACGAATCTGCGTGACGAGGATGCGTGTCAGGCGAGAACGAGAGAGAGAGAGAGAAGAACGAGAGGAGGACGCACCTCGAGCTGGGCCCACCGGCCGTTCTTGAGGCGGAACTGGCGCTCGGGCGCCTCGGTCTTCTCGCCGCCGGTCGCCGCCTTCCACGCGTTGTCGACCTTCTGCAGGTCGTCGGGCACGATCTGCTCGGTCCACTCGACGAGCGGCCGGCCGAGCGCCATGCCGCAGATCTCGAACCACCGCGGGTTGCAGAAGACCGGGTGGCCCTGGTTGTCGATCTGGACGACGCCGACGGGCGACACGGTCGACAGCATGGCGTACCGGCTCGCGAGGGCGCGGTTCTGCGCCTCAGACTCGATGAGGGCGCGCGTGCGCTCGTCGACACGGCGCTCGAGCTCGGCGCGCAGGAGGCCGAGCTGGAGGTGGACGCGCACTCGGGCGAGGAGCTCGCGCGCCTGGAACGGCTTGACGAGGTAGTCGTCGACGCCGCCCTCGAGCGCCTCGGCGCGCGCTTCGGTGCCGGCCTGGGCCGAGACCATGATGATGGGCACGAGCGTCGTCGACGGGTCGCGCCGCAGGGCCGTCGTGAGCTCCATGCCCGAGATGTGCGGCATCATGGCGTCGGTGAGGACGAGCGACGGCGGCGACTTGCGGATGTGCTCGAGCGCCTCGCGCGGGTCGCCGAACGCGACGACCGTAAAGTGCTTGGTGAGGAGGCTCGAGATGTAGGCGCGCAGGTCGCGCGAGTCGTCGACGAGCACGATCGTGCGGTTCTGGAGGCTCAGGACGTCTGCGCAGGCGAAGGACTCGCAGGGTCAGGTCCTTGTCGCACGGGCGCGAAGGAGAGAGAGAGAGAGAGGAAGACGCACCGACGCCCATGTAGTCGTCCGGCCCGCTGCCGCTGCCCGACGAGTTGCCCGGCTCGCTGCCGCCGTTGGCGAGGTCGGACGAGCCGGCGCTGCTGAGCGGGGTGGCGTCCATGGCGTCCTGCGCCTCGGCGTCGTACCGCCACGAGGCCGCCTCGTCGACGACGGCGAGGTTGCGGTTCTGGAACTGGGCGACGAGCTGCGTGTCCTCGGGCGTGTGGTCGATCTGGTCGATCGGGAGGTGCGTGTGGCCGCGCTGGAGCCGGATCGTGAACGTCGAGCCGTGGCCGAGCTCGCTCTCGACCTCGAGCTGGCCGCCGAGGAGCTTGACGAGCTCGAGCGTGAGGGCGAGGCCGATGCCGGTCCCGGTCGCCATGCGCGAGTTGGCCTCGATGCGGTGGAACCGGTCGAACACGCGCCCGAGCGAGTCGGCGGGGATGCCGATGCCGGTGTCGGTGACCGACAGGACCGCCTCGGCGCGCGTCGACCGCAGCGACACGGTGATCTTGCCCGACGGCGTGTACTTGAACGCGTTCGAGATGACATTGTGCACGATCTTGTCCCACAGGTCCGGGCTCAGGTAGATCGGCGGGCAGTGCGGCGGGTCGTCGTCGCAGTGGATCTCGTACTTGATGCCGGTGCGCTCGATCGCGTCGCGGAACAGGATCGCAATGTCGCGCGTGAGCGGGCCGATCTGGACGGGCCGGTACTTGAAGTTCATGCGGCCGCCCTCGAGCGAGGAAAAGTCGAGGAGCTTGTTGACCATGGTGAGGAGGCGGTTGGCGTGGCGCTGGACGAGGACGAGGCGGTCGCGGTGCGTGCGGTCGAGCTTGTCGCGCTCCGAGCCGCCGAGGAGGTCGTCGAGCGGGCCGAGGATGAGGGTGAGGGGCGTCCTCAACTCGTGCGACACGGACGAGAAGAAGTTGCTCTTGGCGCGGTCGAGCTTGATGAGCTCCTCGGCGCGTTGGCGGTCCTGCTCGGCGGCGAGGACGGCAAACAGGCCAATGGCGACGTGACGCGCGACGAGGTTGAAGAAGACCTCCATGAGCTGCGTAAAGTTGCTCATCGAGTTGATGCCGAACACGACGACGGCCGACGGGATCGTCTGGCCGACCTCGACGAAGATCGGGATGACGACCGCCTGCCGCACCGAGTACGTCCACCCGTGCGTGCGGTCGAGCGACTCGGCGAGCGGGCCGAGGTCGTCGACGAGGGTCAGGTCGCGCTTGAGGCACGCCTCCTCGAACGGCCACGACCACCGCGGGTCGGCTCGAGCGCCGTTGGCCGACGGCGTCGTCGACGACGAGGCCGACGAAGGTCCGGGCGATCCGGCGACGGCGCCCGGCGACAGGGCGGCGGCCGCCTCGAGGCGCTCGCGCATGTCGAGCATGGTCGCCGTCGAGCCCGTCCCGGTCGAGGTCGACGCCGACGAGGTCGACTGGCGCGACGTCGGCTGCGTGATGTCGACGAGCGCCTCCTGGACGAGGAACGGGTGGTCCTCGGGGATGCCGGTCGACCCTCGGTTGGTGAGCTTGATGACGGTGCGCGTGCTGCGGTCGTACCCGAGGCGGACCTCCTTGCGCGACGGCTTGTTGGTGACCTCCTCGACCGTGAACAGCTGGACGAACGGCAGGTCGTACGGGTTCGACGCAAAGACCTTGAGCGCCGACGTCGAAAAGTCTGCGGGCAGGCGAGCCGTCAGTGACGAAGTCGGGTTTCGGCTGAGCCGGGAGAGAGAGAGAGGGACGCACCCTCGACAGTCCTTGCCAAGCTCGTCATCTGGACGAGGTCGCGAACCGTTGCGAGTCGGCGCGCTGCGACGACCGTTGCCGTCGACCTGCCGGCGGGACGAGGAGGAGTCAGTGCGGGTCGTCGAGGGGGAGTAGGAGCGAAAGCGGGACGCACTCGATGGACAGGTTGTAGATGCCGAGGACGTTGCCCTCGTTGTCGTAGAAGGGCGCATACGAGAAGGTATGGTCTGCGCGACGAAAGGAAGGCCGTCAATGATGGAGCTCGAGAGGGGGCAGAGAGGTCGGGACGCACAGGTCTCCTCGGTGAAGCCCATGCGCTCCATCGCGAGGAAGTGGTCGCGGAAGAAGCACGTCTCGCCGGCGAGAGCGCGCTCGGCGATCGACCGCAGGCCGTCCCAGATCTCGGCCCACCCTTCTCGGCACAGCTGGCCGAGGAGCGACGGGTGCTTGATGCCGGCCGTCTCGATGTACAGGTCGTTGTAGACGATGATGATGTCCTCGCTGCGAGGAGGGAGGGCGAAATATCAGTCTGTGGTACAGGGTCGACAGGAAAGAGAGGGAGGGCGAGAGACGAGGACGCACGCTCGAGAGCCCCACAGGATGCACTCGCGGAACGGGCTCGCCAAGATGCTGGCGACCATCGTCTTGAGCTCGGGCTGCCACCCGCTGATGGGCCCGAGCGGCGTCTCGTGCCACGAGTGGGCCCGGATGCGCCGCCCCATCTCGCTGTCGCCGAGCGCGCGCACCCACGGGTCCTCGTGCGCGCCGAGCGGGAACGCGCGCGCCTGCGCCTCGGCCGACGACGTCAGGCCCGACGCGACGGCGGCCGAGGCGGCGGCGGCGGCCGAGAGGGACCCGACGCGCGTCTCGCTCGTCGTCGTCGGCGACTGGTACGCCTTGCCGACGTCGCGCGGCGCACTGCTCGGGGCTGTCGCGACGGGCGGCGACCGATGTGGTGGGGCGATGGAAGAGCGAGGCGTGGTGGAAGAGGGCCGAGGAGGCCAGTGCGAGGGGAGCGGGCCGGACGATGGAGCTGAAGGCGCCATGGTGAGGATGACGAAGCCCGACGCTGACGAGGCGTGCGAGCCGAACGGCGATGCGGCCGACGCGTCGAGCGGCATCGAGGCCGACGGCGCGCCGAGGACCGGAGAGAACGGGACCAGTGTGGCCGAGACGATGTGCGGATGGTCTGCGGGACCTAGGCGGATCGTCTGCGGGACCTGGCTCGCGACGCGAGTGCGCCTCGTCGGCATGACGGTGCGCATCGACGACACGGGCGAAGGTGCTGTTGCGGCCGCCGCCGAGGTCCACTTGGGCGAGGCGGCGTCGGCGGCGAGGCTGGGCGTCGGGGCCGGCGAGAGCGTCGTCGGCGGAAGGCGCTCGGACGACGACGCGGCCGACGGGTTGCCCGGGTAGCCGTTGTCGCGGTCCTCGACGAGGTCGAGCACGAACGAGAGGAGCGTCGCCTGGTCCTCGGCCGACAGGAACGCGTACGGGTTGCCCGACTCGTCGTCGTCGCCGTTGGCGCCGCTCGCAAAGTCCTCGTTCTCCGTCTCGGTGTCGGTCCCGCTCACGCTCCCGCTGCTCTCGCCCTCGTCGTCCGTGTCCATGCCGCGGTGCTCCTCAACCTCGTCGACCCGGCTGAGCGGCGTCGCACTCCGACCGCCGCTCCCGGCGCGCTCGACCCCAGGGTGCGGCGGGATGGCACCCATGAGCGCGTCGCCCTCCTCCTCGTGGCTCGACCGACGCCTTTTCCCGCGCCGCCGGAGCCCGCTCCGGCCGAGCGCAGTCGCCGCCGCACCGACCGCCGAGGGGACGGCGAAGGGCACGTCGCGCGGCGTGGCCGAAGACGCAGCGCTCTCGAGGTTGCGCCACGCCTCGTTGCGGTAGACGGGGCTGAGGGCGGCGGTTGGAGCTGGCGCGAACGGGTTGGCGGACGACGAGGTCGACGGGCCGGGCGTCGACTCGTCGTCCTCGAGGAGCGGGGTCAACGGCGACTCGGCGCCGTCGATTGGCGAGGCGGCGAGGAGCGTGTCGGCGGACGACGCCTCGGACGACGCTGCGCTCGAGGGTCGGCGCGGGTGGATGCCGCTCGTGACGGCGTCGAGCGAGAAGTAGTCGGTCGACGAGGTGGTGGGGCCGGTGCCGGCGCCCGCGAACGGCTCAGACGCGGTGCTGCCGCTGCGGGGCGTCTTGACGTTGAGGCTCTCGATACCGCGCAGGACCTCGGGCGACGGCTCGTCGCGGTGGTTGTAGCTGTTGGCGAGCGTCGGCATCGCGTCCGAGTTGCTCCTGAAGCGCTTGATGGCGGGCTTGGCGGACCCGGTGCTGCCCGTCGCGGCTGCCGGGTGCTGGCCCTGGACGTTCCACACGGGCGACTTGAGCGGCGTCGCGGTCTGGCGCGAGCGGAGGGCGAGGACGAGGGGCGAGAGGGGGAGGACGAGGGCCGGGCCGGGCGAGGCGGCGAGGAAGGGGAGGAGCGGGAGCTGGGCGAGGGCACTGATGCCTGCGGCATCAGGCTGGGCCGGTACTGCCATGCCGGCAAGCACTGGCGAGCTGGGTCGAGCTGTCGAGGTGAAGGGTCTCGCTCGGCGAGGCGCGAGGCGTCGGCCTCCAAGTCGGGGTCGCGCGCTCGAGGACGGGCTCGCTTGGTGCAAGGATGCGGTGCGTAGGCCGCGCGAGTCGCCGCCGAGTGAGCTGGGTTGGCCGGCGGTGCGCTGTGTCGAGAGCAGCGAGCGTCGAGGCGAGATGGACCACGATCAAGGTCTCTCTCTCGTCGGGGCTCGCGCGCCCGCGCATTCCCTCACCGGCCGACTCGCTCGTGTCTCTGATGAACACGCTCGCTTTCGCTGACTCGCTCCCGCATCATGCCGCACGAGCGCTCAGCTTCTCCCGCGTTCCCCTCCTCGCCCCAGTGCCCACCGTTACCTCGCTCGGGCCTCGGGCCGAACCACAGCTCGCTTTGACCACGCACCGTTGCGACACAGATTTGATCGCGTCCTGATCGAAAGTCACGCGCGAGGACTCGCATCGACCACCTCGCACTCGATCCCCTCTCTCTCCGTTTCGCAGAGAAAGGCGGCGGCGTTGCAAGCTGAGAGAGAGATGCGTACTATCGTGACAAAGACAAGCGGTGACTGCTGCAGAGACAAGCTGGACAAAAAACAAGCTCGGCGACCCTGCACCTCCTCCTGCTCCTCCACGTGGCCCGGCCGCGACGCCTCACTCGACCTCGGGCGCGAGCTGCGCGTCCTTGGGCCCGTCAACGTCAAAGCGCTCGCCGACGAACGTCGGGAAGCGCGGGATGCCCGCCTTGGTGAACTCCTGAAAGCGGTACGTGACGACGGCGCCGACCTGCGCGAGGAGGAGGAGGCGTGCGGGGGGAGGCAGGCAGAGTCAGCGGGTTGTCGACGTGCTCGGCGTGCGACTGTCGACGCGGTGGACGACGCCGACAAGGAGAGGGAGAGGGAGAGAGGAAATGAGAGAGCGGGACGCACCGGCGGCGGGTTCTGGCGCCTCTCGTCCGTCAAGCCCGAGCCAACGCTGAACGTCGTCTCGCCGTCCTCCATGACGCACTCGAGCGCGCCGAGCATGCCGACGTACTTTCCCTGGCAAGGCGTCATCGTCGAGTCAGTTCAGGCCCGTCGACAGGACGGCGCGGGAGGAGAGCGAGAGAGAGGAGGTGCTCACCTTGCCCGGCTCGTGAGCGACGACACGCGCCTCGGCGTCGTGGAACGTCTTGACCTTGAGGAGCGTCGACGAGCGCTTGTGGACGTACTCGGAGCCGGGCGGCGGAGCATGAGCCTGCGCGCGGTTCGACGAATGAGCGTCGCCCGAAAGCTCGGTCGAAAAGATGGAGCTACGCAGCCCTCGAGCGAGGCTCGGGACGGCGCAACGCGGACATTAGGAGAGGAACGAGCGACGCACCCCTCACCCCCAAGCCCCTTGACCTCCTCGAGCTTCTCGAGCAGGTGGTCCCACCCGTCGCACATGTCCTGCTCGACGACGCGCACGATGCCGCCGCCCTCGTCGCCTGCCGGGTTGAGCGCCGCCGCCGAGGAGGCCGTCGGCGTGGCCGGGTCGGCGCGCGGGAAGAGGTCGTGCAGCTGGGCGAGGCGGTCCTCGAACGGCTTGGACGCTTGCGACGGGATGTCGAATACCTGTGCGACTCCTTGGTGAGTACTACGAACGCCTGGTCCCAAATATCTGCGAGATGATGGCGAGAGGAACGTGGGCGACGCACCATGTAGCGCAGCTCGCCCCAGCGCTCCGAGTTCATGCTGCGCACGATCCCGCTCGTCTCGTCAAAGCGGTTGCGGCCCATGAACAGTTCGCCATCGAGCTCGTGGCCTTGCGGCAGGTCTGTGTGCGACGAGGTGGGTGTCAATTGGGTTCGCGTGGACGAGGAGAGGGACGAGAGGACGCACTCGAGGTGAAGGACGAGGGGGCCGAGAACGGGTTGCCGACGCGCGACCACAGGGTCGACTCGCCGTCCCAGTACGCGCGCACGCCGTCGACTGCAGGAATGAGGACTGTCCTTGTCAGTCCTTTCCGACCACTCGCTCGTCGGCGCTCGGCGACCCGGCCGCCCGACAGCGAGAAGGGGAGGAGGGTAGAGAGCGAGGACGCACGCTTCTCGCTCATCCACCAGCCCGTCGGGTCCTTCTTCTTCGAGTCGAGGTCGAACTTGTTGGCGAGGAGGAGCTCGATCCCGCCCTTGCGCGCCTTGACCTTCTTCTTCTTGAGCGCCTCGACGACCTCGTCCTCGGCGTCCTCGTCCTCCTCGACCTCGGCCGCCTTGGCCTTGCCCTTGCCCTTGGGCTTGGCCTTGCCCTTGACCGCGCCCTTGCCCTTGGCCCCGCTCGCCGCCTTGCTCCCGCCGGCACCGCGGACCGCGACCGGTCGCTTCTTGGCGCCCGGCGCGGCGTAAGTGCGCTTCGGCGCCGGCGTGTCGTCCTGCTCCTGCGCGCCCGAGGCCGACGTCGACATGGTGCGCGAGCCCGAGGGCGAGAGCGGAGCGGCCGACTTCTTCTTCTTGGGCGGGTGCTTGGCGACGCCGGCGCCGGCGCCGCAGCGAGCGTTCTCGTGCCTGCAGACGGGGCGGGGCACAGTCAGTCTGGGCTGCTCCACGCGCGCAACGCCGACGAGCAGAATGCACTGCTTGGCCGGCGAGGGCGAGGTGGACGAGCCGAGACTCACTCGTCGCCGAGGAGGTCGCGGATGTGCTTGCAGGTGCGCACGTCGACGGCCACCTTGGTGTTGAGCATGAGCCAGGCCATGCAGGTGCACTTGTACGTGTTCGTGTCGATGCTGCACGGGGTTGGTTGCGCCGAGCGAGGCGAGAGGAGGAGGACGAGGTGGGGGGAGGATGAGAGTCAGCTCGTGCGGCACAGCGCAATCGAGAGAGAGAGCGAGAGACGGACCACTCGATCGTGTAGCGCTTGTTGTCGTCCGTCTTGCTGCCGACGACGACCTTGTCGAACACGTCGAGGCGGACCTTTGGGGTCGGGAGCGTCATGTCGCGAGTGCCAGCGAGGTCGAGCGGGGCGGCGTCCTGAAGCTGGCCTGGCGGGACGTGGAGCTGCACGAGGTCGCGGGCGGTGGGCTGCGGTACGTCTGGAGCGCGTGCGAGCGTCGAGGTGAAGCGGGCGGCGGCAGGAGGAGGAGGAGGATGCCGACGACGAGGAGGGGGTTGAGCGGCGGGGCGAGGTCGTGGGTGGGCTGGCGGTGGTCGCAGTGGTCGCAGCAAGGCGACTGTTGTGCGTACGAGGACGCGCGAGCTGCAGAGGGATGCCATGGAGAAGCAGAAGGGCGGTGCTCCTCCTCCTCCTGTTGGTCGACCGCCGCTCGCTCAACGCTATTCCGATCCAGACTGGCAGCTCAAAGGCGCGTCGGTACCGGTTACTTGTCGCTCCCGTCGGCCTCGAGGCCGCTCTACCTCTGCTGCCGGCCCGCACAAGCTTGGCTGTCCCCTCTCTCTCCCCCTCCCTTTCTCCGTCACCTCGCTGCTCTCGTGCACCCTCGCACCAGCTCTTCCCCTCGCACCAGGTGAGCCTCCCGTCTCGCAGCACGCGCGGCAAACCTTCAGGCGGCCGCCGTGCGGTCGGCCCCACCACGCTCGCGGAGGTACGGCGCTGGCTCGATCGCCTTTTGCCAGTCGTGCTCGACCCGGTCGTCCGCCTGCGTCCGGGCCATAGCGTTCCCTGGGTCCGGCATGCGGTCGACGCTGGGCGCGACGAGCCGGACGAGCGGCGGGGAACGGTGTTCGAGACGGCCGCAGTCGCTCGACTCTCGTTCGCCCGGGCTTCCTTCCCTCTCTCCTCTCTATCAGTCCTCGCCGTGCACGACACGAACAGACACTGACCATGTCGTTCATCTCGTATCCTGCACCCCCGCGTCCCGCCATGTCGACGTCGCCAACCACGTCCTCGTCGTCCTCCTCTCTCGCCTCGCGCTCGTCCACCTCGTCCTCGTCCGACCTCGACGCGTCCTCCAACTCGCCTCACTCCTCACCTGCGCACTCTCCCGACTCGACGACGCCCGACAAACCCTTCTTCACCTACCCCTCCTCGTCGCACGCCTCGTCGTCGTCGACTCTGCGACCTGCGGCGCCCGGTTCCGCAGCACCACCACCCCCACTCGACATGGCGCCTCTCCCCTCGACCCTCCCGCGCACCTACTCGCGCATCACGCTGCGCGAGCGCCCCAAGGCGGCCATCAACCCGTCGCTCGATGGCAAGACGGGCACGTTCACGCTCGAGACTGGCGTCCCCATGTTCGGCGACGACGAGCTCAAGCCGGGCGAGGTCATCGTCCAGGTCGACTGGATCTCGGTCGACCCGGCCATGCGCGGCTGGCTCAACCCGACGCGCAGCTACGTGCCGCCGGTCGCGATTGGCGCGACCATGCGTGCGGCGGGCGTCGGGCGCGTCGTGCGCCTGGCCGAGGGCGACAAGGGCGAGCTCGCCGTCGGCGACTGGGTCGTCGGCACGCTCAACTGGACGCAGTACGCCAAGGTCCCGGTCAAGGAGGTCCAGAAGATCCAGTGCGTCCCCATTCCTCGCCTTTTCCTCGCTCCTTTCGCGTCTCTCCTCCAAAGAGCGACTCCTGACACTGCTCTACGCACGCGCAGGGTCGACTCGACGATCTCGCCGACGCTGTACCTCGGCGCTCTCGGCATGACGGGCCAGGTGCGTCGACCTTCCCAAGTCGCTCTCTCTCTCTCTGCGAGCCCACGGACTGACCCGCCACCTCTCGCAGACGGCCTACTGGGGCCTTCACGACGTCGCCCAGATCCAGCCCGGCGACACGGTCGTCGTGACCGGCGCCGCCGGCGCCGTCGGCTCGATCGTGCGTCCCGCTCCCTCTCGTCGTCCTCGACTTCCCCTCCCTCGGCCTCTGACCCCCTCTCGTCGCTCCACAGGCTTGCCAGCTCGCCAAGCTCCACGGCTGCCGCGTCGTCGCCATCGCCGGCGGCGAGGCCAAGTGCAAGTGGCTCAAGGACGAGCTCCTGCCCGAGGACCAGCACGTCGTGCTCGACTACAAGAGCGCCGACTTCAAGAAGAACTTCCGCGACGTCGGCTACGTCGACAAGGTGTTCGAGAACGTCGGTGGCGAGATCCTGGACCTGATCCTGACGAGGTTGAACAAGTACGCGAGGATCGCCCGTGCGTCCCCTCCCTTTCCCTCCCTTTCCCTCCCTCTCCTCCCCCTCGACTTCGCCCTCTCCCTCGACGTCACTGACGACCCTCTGGTGCTCTGCGCAACAGTCTGCGGCGCCATCGCAGACTATCAATCCGCGCAGCCCAAGGGCCTGCAGATGTACCTCACGCTCATCTCGCAAAGTGCCACCATTCAAGGGTTTATCGTGTTCAACTACAGCCAAAAATATCACGTCGCAGCCGAGGAGATGGCCAAGCACATCCGGTCGGGCGCGCTCAAGGTCCGCGAGACGCGCACCGAGGGCATCGACCAGTGCGTCAACGCGCTCGTCGGCCTCTTCTCGGGCGCCAACACGGGCAAGTCGCTCGTCAAGATTGGCGACGAGGGCGCGCCCAAGCTCTGAAGCGGCGCGAGGCGGCGACCCGGCGGCGGGCGGGCGCGAGGAGGAGCAGGAGCAGGAGGGCGGTCGAGGAGGTCCGGGCGCGGGTGGACGAGGGTACGGTCTTTCGGCGGTTCGGGCGGATTCTCTCTGGGCTCTCTCCTTGTACTTGTGTGAGCGCAATGCAGTGCAGTACGTGCGTCACTGTGCGGCGGCGGCGCGGCGAGCGGGAGCAAGAGCGTGTGAAAGCTTGCGACGAGGACGAGAGAGCGCCTCGCCGTCTCGCGTTTCCCCTCGACGTCGCAGTTGCTCGTCGACAGCCTCTCGAGCTGTACGTGGCCGCACACCGCGGCCGCAGAGACGAGCGACGAGCAAATCACGCGCAACGGCGAAGTCGCGCCTGCCCCACCTTTTCTCCGCATTCGCAGCTTCCGACCTCTGCTTCTCTCCCTTCCTCGCCCTGCCTTTGTGCACCCGCTTGTGACGCGACCAGCACCTCTCTAGCTGTGCGTCCCCTGCCCCCTCGCCGCGTCCAGCACACGAGCGCACGCGCCCCGCCACGTCCCCTCCTCTGAATCCCCGCGTCCCGAGAACGGCGGCGGCCTCCTCGCCACTCTCGCGCCGCACCAGGGCCTACGCGACGCGCACGAGTGTGACGAGCACATTCCTCACTACCGACACAAGCTGATCCGCTTCTCCCACCGTGCAGCTCCTCCCCCTCGTCCAACCCTCGCACCTCCCTCCCCCCACGCCTCGCGCTCCCTCCCCATGTCGGGCCCGCAGGTCATTGTCGTCGGCGCCGGTCTCTCGGGACTGTCGGCCGCTCACACGCTGTACGAGAAGGGCGCCAACGTCCTCGTCCTCGAGAAGGTGCGCCCCTCCCCCTTCCACTTCTCCTCGTCGTCCCCACCTCGTGCCGTCGGACCGTCGCGCTCCGCCTCGGTCACATTTAGCGACTGACTCTTCCGTCTCGCCTACAGAACGCGTTCGCCGGTGGTACGTTGCGCAGCTCGTCGAGCTCAAGGAGACGACGCTGACCCTCTTTGCTTTCCCGCCACGCAGGAAACTCGACCAGTGCGCCCCTGGATCCCTCCCTCGTCTCGGTCTTTCTCGAGCGTCTCGCCAGACTGACCCTCGAGCTGTTCCCGACTCGCAGAGGCCACGTCGGGCATCAACGGCGCCGGCACCAAGGTGCGCCTCCTTCCCCACTTCGTCCCTTCTCGGCGCCGGTCCTGACCCTCTCTCTCTCTTCCGCCCTCTTGCAGGCCCAGGAGAAGCTCGGCATCAAGGACTCGGCGGCGGCCTTCTTTGCCGACACCAAGAAGTCGGTGCGTCCCCTAAGTCTCGCTCTCTTCCTCGTCGTCGTCGACGGCGGACTCACCTTTTTCTCGAACGACGGCGCGCAACAGGCTCGTGACCTCGCGCGCGACGACCTCATCGAGGTGCTCACGGGTGTGTCTCGCGGTCGCTGTCGAGGGGCGGGCGTCGAGGAACGACTGACGAGCGTGAATCTGCAGGCAAGTCGGGCGACGCCGTCAACTGGCTCGTCGAGCGCTTCAAGTGCGTCCTCCCTTCCTCTTTTCGCCGGCACCGTCTACCTGTCCCATAAGGCCTAGCGTGTGCCTGGGTGAGAGCGGTGGCGCACGTGGCGTGCGTCGTGACTCGGTGGTCCCGCACTTACCCTCCTCTTCCCTCCCTGCTGCAGCCTCGACCTCACCAAGGTCTCGCGCCTCGGCGGCCACAGCTTCGAGCGCACGCACCGCGGGTCCAAGCTCTTTCCGGGGTGAGCTTCGTCCATAATCTCGAGGCCGGCGAGCCGGCGCGGCCGTCGTTGTTCGCCTGCCGCCTCCGCCGTCCTCAGAGCACGATGACTGACCCGCTGCGTGCAACAGAATGATGATAACTTACGCTCTCATGGAAGGCCTTGAGGAGCTCGCCGAGCAGGACCCGAAGCGCATGCGCTTCCTCAAGAAGGCCGACGTCAAGAAGCTCGTCAAGGAGGGCGACGAGGTCGTCGGGCTCGAGTTCGAGTTCCAGGGCAAGACGCACACGGCGCACGGTCCCGTCATCCTGTGCGTCCCACTCTCGTTTGCGGTCAGGCGGAGCCGGCGGCGAGTCGAGGTCGGCGGACGCGCCGGCTCGCTCCGACTTTCTGCGACGAGTCCCTGACTCTCTCCCTCCGTTCTTCACGCAGCGCCACTGGTGGCTACGCCGCCGACTTTGCCAAGGACGGCCTCCTCGCCAAGTTCCGCCCCGAGCTGCTCGACCTCCCGACGACCAACGGCGACCACTGCACGGGCGCCGGCACCAAGATGGCCATGGCGGTCGGCGCCAACGGCATCGACCTCGAGAAGGTGCAGGTGCACCCGACGGGCCTCGTCGACCCGAACGATCCCGACGCAAAGGTCAAGTTCCTCGCCGCCGAGGCGCTGCGCGGCGTCGGCGGCCTGCTGCTCAACAAGGAGGGCGACCGCTTTGCCGACGAGCTCGGCCACCGCGACTACGGTGCGTCACCCACTCTCTCTCTCGCTCTCTCTCGGCGCCGGCGGGCCACGTACAGGCGAGCGTCACTGACTCGCTCGTCGTCGTCGTTCGCGCAGTCACCGGCCGCATCTGGGAGGACAACAAGCTGCCCGTCCGCCTCATCCTCAACGGCGAGGCGTCCAAGGAGATCGAGTGGCACTGCAAGGTGCGTGCGCGAGGCGCTGTCCCTCGCGGCGGTCGTCGAGCGGCCGGCCCCATTTTCCCCGCTCGGACCCTCACTGACCCTTTTCCCCTTCCTCGCCCTCCTCCTCCTCTCTGCTCCCCCTCCTCGTCCTCCTCGTACCTCGTCTCACGCAGCACTACGTCGCGCGCGGCCTCATGAAGAAGATCGACACCGTCGACGACCTCGCCAAGGAGATGGGCCTGCCGCTGTCCAAGATCCAGGGCACGTTCGACGACTACATGGCCATCTGCAAAGACCCCAAGAAGGACCCATTCGGCAAGAAGTACTTCTGTGTGTCGTCGATCGTTCTCTCCGAGTCTCGTGCTCGTCGTCGAGGGCCGGAACTGACCCTCGCTCGCTCCCTCGTCCGCAGCGGCGACCAACTGGGGCAAGAACGCCGGCCCGTTCCACGTCGCCATCATGAGCCCGGTCCTGCACTAGTGCGTCGGCCTGTCCTCGACCTGGCTGTGCCGCTCGAGCTGGGTCTCGAGCGGAGCACGTCTTCGTCGGTCGCCCGAAGCGCCTCAAGCTCACACCCCTCGTCCTCCTCGCGCAGCACCATGGGCGGCCTCGAGATCGACCCGCTCTCGCAGGTCCTCAACACGGAGAAGAAGCCGATCAAGGGCCTGTTCGCGTCGGGCGAGATTGCCGGCGGCGTGCACGGCGCCAACCGCCTCGGCGGCTCGTCGCTCCTGTGCGTCCCCTCGCCTCTCCTCTTCTCGCGACGACCCTTTCTGACTCTCTCTCGAACTGTCTCGACAGCGGCTGCGTCGTGTTTGGTCGCGTCGCGGCCGACACGGCGGCGTCGTACCTCCTCAAGAGCCTCTCGTCGGGCTCGGGCGCCGTCGCTCGCCTCGGCCAGGTCAACAACCACCTGCAGCCGCCGTCGACGACCATCTCGATCGACCCGTCGACGCAGCAGGTGCACCTCACGCTCAACTGGTCGGGCCAAGGCGCGTCGTCGTCGTCGTCGGGCGGCGTCAAGCCGACGGGCCCGTCGACGGCCGAGCAGCCGGCCAACGAGGTCGACGCGGCGGTCAAGCACGACGAGGAGACCAAGGCGGGCGAGAAGAAGGGCGTCGAGCAAAAGGAGTACTCGCTCGAGGAGGTCGCCAAGCACAACACCAAGGACGACATCTGGGTGCGTCCTGCGCTCTCTCCATCTCTTTGTGGGGCAGTATCGAGTCGACCCTCGTACTGACACGATCTGATGTCTTCGACCGCAGATTGCCGTCAACGGGCAGGTGCTCAACGTCACCAACTTCTTGCAGGACCACCCGGGCGGCGCCAAGGGTGCGTCTCTTTCCTCTTTTCTCCTCTTGAATCGGAACAGAGGGAGGCGCTCGACGACCAGTACTGAATCTGTCTTGCCCGCAACCCTCTGAAACAGCTCTCATGCTTTATGCCGGGCAAGAAGCCTCGGAAGCCTTCAACATGCTCCACGAGAAGACGTGCGTCTGTCGCGCTCTTACTTTGTCACCTTGGCCCGGCCTTGGTCGCTCACTCGTTCTCTCATGCAGCGTCGTCGCCAAGTACGCGCCCGACACGATCATCGGCACCTACAAGCAGTAAGGCGGCGTCCGGCCACCTCGACTCGCCAACTCTTCGTCCTCTTTCTCCCCTCTCCCTTCCTGCCCCTCCTCTCTCTCTCTCTCTCTCCTTCTCTCGTCTCGCGTTTCCTCCTGGTCTGTAGGTGCCTTCTCGTTTTCCCCTCCCCATTTGTGCCCTCCTCGAGCTTTTCTGTAACGACCCGAACAAGCAGTGCCCTTCGTCTTCTCTTCTCGTCCGTCCGGCCTCCTCGAGACTGGAAGCGAGAGGTTCCACGAGCGGATGCTGGACGAGCGCGAGCGTCTCGAACGAGAGCAGCTCGCCGTCATGGCGGCAAAGCGACCTTCTCAAGTCGAGGTCGATGGCGTTGTCGCTCTCGCGAAAGGCGCAAAGTGGGCAAATCAAGCGTTTCCTTCAAGCAGTACTTCTTCGACAAGCGACCTCGACGACCCCTGCAAGCGGTCCCCCACCCCCTCCTCGCTCACCACCCGTCCGACGAGTAGAGCATCGAGTCGTCCTCGCTGTCGCCGCCGAACAGGTCGAAGCCCGCCTTGCTCTGGACCGCGGCCGCCGCACCGCCGTTGAACTTGCTCTTGGCGCCGGCCGTGTCGGTGTCCGACGGGTACGGCGTGTGGCGCGAGTGCATGACGATGACGGGCGGGTCGAGGTAGACGGGCGGCTTCATGCGCGACAGCTTGTCGCCCTCGGTCCTGATCGCGAAGAGCTGCGCACAGCGAGAGATACTGAGGTGAGAGGCTTGACCCTTGCTGAACGCCGGGTGAGGTGAGGGGTGAAGAAAGAGGGGACGCACAAGCTCAGGCCACCCGTTCTCGCCCCAGAACGTGCGCCGTGTCGAGCGGCGGTTCTCCCACGTGTAGCACTGGACCATGCGCTCGGCTTGCTTGAGCTCTTCGACGCCGGCCGTACCAGGATCGAGGTGATTGAGCTCGAGGATGGCGGACGTCGCGCAGACGACCTCGAGCGGGACCTTGACGTTGAACCTCGGCGACGCTTGGGAGTCACAGGTCCCGTGCGTGCTGTAGTTGTGGTGCTCGTGCAGGTGCTCGAGGACGCGGACGAGAGGGCCGACGGCGCCGAGGTGTCGAGGCTTGCGGACGTTGAAGCGCGCACGGCCGAGGAGCCACCGGCGGTCGTAACGCCGGCTCGCTGCCTTGCAGTCCTTGTGGCCGCAGCAAACAAACGACGTCGCGAGCGAGAAGAAGGCGTCGAGGTCGAGGTCGTCGTCGCCGAGGTCGCGGTCGTCCTCGGTCGACGAGGGGTTGTCCGGGTCGGTCGTCGCCTCGAAGATGAGCTCGCGAACGTGCGCGACGAGATCGAGGCGGAACTGCGACAGGTCCTCCTTGATGTCCTCGAGGGCGTCGCGCCAAGCCTGCTCGCTCACGTCGGTGTCGCCGGCGCAAAGCGTCTTGACCGAGGGGAGGAGGAGGAAGTCGAGGAAGAGCGGGGCGAACGGGCGCGCCGACTCGGGCAGAGAACCCATGAGCGCGTTGTAGTGCGTGCGCAAGCTGCTTTGACGTCCGTACTGGCGAGCGCGTTGCTGCTGAACGAGGTCCTGCTTGACCTCGCGCGCCTTGCGGCGGTCGAGGAGCTTGAGGAGCTTGGGCTTGATACGGACCCACTCTGCGAGTCAAGCACGACGTCAGGATGTTGGTCGTGGCTGCTCAGGAGACGAGAGAGAGAGAGAGAGAGAGAGAGAGAGAGAGAGACAAAGGGGACGTACCCTCGTCGGTGAGCGGGTCGGGCGACTTGACGAGCTTGCTCCTCGACCACGGGCCCCAGAAGCTGCAGAGGCACCCGTCAGGACCAGTCACGGATATAGAGAGTAGGGAGCGAGGACGGACTCGTAACGAGTGTAGCCCAGATTGAGGTCGAGGACCTTCTGCCGCAGCGCCGACTCGCGGTCCGGGTCGTTCTCGACGGCGGCTTGTCCGTGGCTCTGCCACTTGACGCTCTGCAGGTGCTGCTTGGCCATCGCGTACGCTGTCTTGATGCTGCGAGCGTGCTGCCGAGGGATTCCAGGGTCAGGGATCGCGTTTGCGCAAGAACGAGAAGTGGGCGCGGACGGACCTTGTTGATCTCCTTGTACAGGGCCGAGCGGGCGACGATGTACTCGTTGACGCGACGCGTGTACGGCGAGGCCGAGTCGTCCTCGTTGTCGGACATGTCGTCCTGGCGCGGCGTCCACGTCTTGGACGAGAACCTGCGCGACCTGCGCCTGCGGCCAGTCGACGACGACTGTGGCGGCGCGAGAGGTGGTGCGACGTTGCCCTCGGCGATGTCGTCGTCCTCGTCCTGGTCCTCGAGGTCGCGCAGGATGACGCTGGCGCGGTACAGGTCGCTGATGAGAATCTGGCCTGCTCGTCGAGAAGGGTCAGGACTGGACGACCCGCTTACTCACGCTCGTGGAAAGGGGAGCCGACGCACCTCCCGACTGGATCACGACGTCCTTGGCACGAGGGTGCAGCTTGGCGAGCACGTCGGGGTACATGCGCTTGAGGCTGCGGAGCTTGACGATCCTGCAGAGGGCCAAAGACATCAGTGCCGGTCATTCATTGACAGACTAAGGTAGCGACACGTACTCCTGCGTGCGGCAGCTTTTGCAGTACCGGACGCGAAGGCGAGGCTCGATCGAGACGTAGTTGCCGACGCCGCAAAGCTGTGTCCGGCGAGCGGAGGGGACAGTCAGGGAGGGCCGACGAGTGGGAGAAGGAGAGGGCGGGTGCGCACCTGGCAGTTGCGCCCGAAGACGAGGTTCGCGTACTGGATCTCGCTGAAGCGGTCGGTGACGACGTCGGGCAGCTTGAGCTTGTCGCGAGCGGCCTTCCAGAGACGGGCCGACGACTTGGCCGTGAGGAGCGCGCGGTACTGCTTGTTGACCATGCTGAGCGCGAGGAGGTCGTTTGGGTACAGGTGCGAGAAGATCTGGGTAGGAGAAGGAGGGTCAGCTGTGAGGTTGAGGCGAGGTCGGGCCGAGGAGGAGGAGGAGGTAGGAGAGCGAGAGCGCACTTCGGTGATCATCTCGACAGGGAGCGTCTTGAAGACCTCGAGCTGGCCCTTGAAGTTGTTCTGCTTGCGCCGCTTGCCCTTGGCCGGCCCGCGAGCCTTCTTGCGCGGCGGGTCGTCTTCATCGCCCTCGCCGCCGTCGTCGACCTCGACCGCCTTGGCCTTGCCCTTGGCGCGCTTGGTCGGACCTGCAGGGGGTCGAGTAGAGTCAGTCGAGGGCCTTCGAGGCAGTCCCACAGGCCCACGCACCTTTGGCCTTGCTGTTGCGCCCTCCTCCCCCGCCGCGCCCCGACTCGCTCAACTCGTCGTCCTCGTCCTCGTCGCCGCTCGAGGGCAGCTCGGCGTAGCTGAACGTGCTCGCCGTGCTCTTGCGAGCCGAGCGCGCGCGAGCACTCATCCTCGCGTCGGTAGCGAGGGGATGGTAGAGGAGCGAGAGAGGAGGAGCGTGCGGACGAGCGCGAGGTGGCAGCGAGCTGCACTCTCGCGGGCGGGTGGGTGGACCGGTAGCCTGCTTGTAGAGAGCTACCAGAGTGCATTGGAAGCCTTTCCAGCGGTCCAGCTGTGGGCGTGCCCCGAGTCCTTCTCGCTCACCTTCCCGCTCGCCTCCTCGCCCTCTCGACGCGGCGTGCGACAGTGGACTCGGCGCCTGCATTGACGAGACGGGACGACTCACTCTCGCTCTCGACAAGCTCACTCTCGCAGTGCAGTTCGCAAAGGACGAGGACGAACGCGAACGAGGAGAGATTCTAAAGAGCTTGGGGGGTGGTTTTGCACTGCGGCGTTCGCTACATAAGACATCAGAAGATGGAGATGCAGGGAGGGAACCCTTCAGTCAAGTTCCTCCATAGTTGCGTCGCCGGTTTGCGCCTGCTCGCCCCCAGTTTCGGCGTCCTTCATCTCGGCCTCGGGCGTGTCCTTGGGCGAGGGCGCCTCCTTGGGCTCGTCGACCTTGGGCTCGTCGACCTTGGCCTTGGGCTTGGGGATGGTGACGATTGGGGCGCACACGTTGAAGACCTCGTCCTTGCGCTTGAGGATGTCGGTCGAGGTGAGCGACAGCTTCTCGTACGGCATCTTCTCGGCCTGCGACGCGAGCTTCTGCAGACGGGGACAAGGAGTCAGTCAGGGAAGGAAACGATGAGACGAGAGAGAGAGCGAGGGACGCACGTTCGAGAGCCACGACTCGGCGTTGGCGACCGTCTCGATGACCTTCATGCGCTTGTCCTCGGGGATGTGGGCGACCTCGGCGTCGTTGCTCATCTTGGTGTTGTACTCGTTGAGGAGGTCGCGCAGCTGGGCGGCGGCGCGCGGGCGGTCGTCCGTCTCGCGCATGCGCAGGTGGACCGGGTCGCCGAGGGCCTTGAGGCCCGAGAGGCGCTCGACGTAGGCGCTCTTGGTCGCGTCCTCGCCCTCGTCCGAGTACAGCCAGTCCTCGGCCTGGGTCGCGAGCTCGCGCAGCTTGGTCTTGTCGTCGTCCGACGAGAACTTCTTCCACGACGACTCGAGGCGGTCGCGGATCTCGTACACGTACTCCTCGAGCGCGTTCTTGCGGTCCTCGGTCTCGAGGACGAGCTTGTCGGCCGAGTGCATCTGGCCCTCCTTCTCGCGGAAGTCGTTGACGAGCGACGTGTCGAGGCCGAGGCCGGCCGACGTGGTCGGGAGCGCCGTCTTGACCGTCTTGCGCACCTTCTTGGCCGGCTCGGCGGGCGCGGCAGCAGCGGCGTCGGCGCCCTCGGCGGCGGCGGCGTCCGTCTCCATCGGCGCCGGCGCGGCAACCTCCTCCTCCTCGGGGCCCTGCTCGATCAGGGTCGCGCCCTCGAAGCTGAGGACGCCCGACAGGTTGAGGCGGGCCTTGACCTTGACCTGGCTCTTGCCGCCCTCGGCGGCGGGCTTGACGCCCTTGACGGTGTACTTGCCGATGAACGGATTGACGCCGCCGGGGAGCTGGGCCGGGTTGGCGTACCGCGCCTCGAGGTCGAACGCCTCGGAGCGCTGGAACGACAGGACCTTGGTCGACGGGATAGCGTTGCCGACATCGAATGCGACAATCTCGGTGCCCTCGTCGGCGGCGGCGTCGGCCGAGGCCTCCCACACGAGCTTGATCGGGAACAGCTGGGCGTCGGTCGTCGTGAACTCGCGGACCTTGAAGACGGGCGACACCTGGGCGCACGCGAGCGTCGCGCCACGGGCGATGGCCTCGTCCTGGTTGCAGGTGAACGACAGGGGCTTGCCAAAGTAGTCCTGGATGCGCTGCTTGAGCGCCGGGACGCGGGTCGAGCCACCGACGAGCTCGACGGCCTCGAGGTCGTCCTTGGTGAGGCCCGACGCGGCGAGCGCCTGCTCGAGCGGGGCCGTGGCGCGCTCGAGGAGGGGCGCGATGAGCTCCTCGAACTGCTCGCGCTCCATGGTCGACGACGCGTCGATGTCGTTCATGATCGACTCGACCGAGAGGGGCGCGAGCGGGTTGGCCGACAGGATCTTCTTGAGCTTCTCGACGGCGGCCGACAGGCGGAACGTCGCCTTCTTGTTCGACAGGACGTCGATCTTGTACTTGGTCTCGAACTCCTTGGCAAAGTGCTTGACGAGGAGGAGGTCAAAGTCGCGGCCACCAAAGTGACGGTCGAACGCCGTCGCGCGGACGACGAGCTGGCCCTTGTTGAACGACACGATCGAGACCGAGTAGTCCGAGTGGCCAATGTCGACGAACGCGATGTTCTTGGACGGCTCCTCGGTCGTCGGGAGGTCCGTCTTGGTGATGCCGTACCCGAGCGCGGTCGCGGTCGTGTCGTTGATGAGGCGCAGGCAGTTGAGGCCGGCAATCTCGGCGGCGTCGAGGACGGCGCGGCGCTGCGCCTCCGTGTACCACACGGGGACGGCGACCGTCACGTCGTTGACGGCCGACTTGAGCTCGAGCGCCGCCGTGTCGCGCAGCTTGGCGAGGTACATGGCGTACAGCTGCGTCGCCGAGAACGTCGTCTTCTCGCCGAGGTAGTTGACCTGTGGGCGGGAGGAAGGGTTGAGCACGACTGGTCGCGGCGTCGGCCGGCAGGGAGGAGCAGGGAGAGGTCCACGCACGTTGACGCCAACCGTGTTGCCGACCTTGACGAGCTCGGCGTTCATGAACTGCTTCTCGACCTCGACGTCCGAGTCCCTGCGCAAGTCGAGAGAAGCTGTGGTCAGTCACTGGGGCTCGCCTCGTCCTCGCTCTCGCGCCACCGCCGAGGGGAAAGGCCGCGCGACGCACTCGAATGTCCGGCCGATAAGGCGCTTGAGCGAGCCGACCGTGTTCTTGAAGTTGGACGTCTCCTGCGTCTTGGCCGACTCGCCAATCATGCGCGAGCGCGGGCCGAACGCGACGAGCGACCTGCGGACACGAGGAGGGTCAGGCTTTGCGACCGACCGGCGGGCACAGAGAGGGTGGGAGAGTGGGACGCACGGCGTCGCGCGGTTCGAGACCTCGTTGACGAGGATGTCGATGCCACGGTTGCGGGCGGCACCGATCTGAGGACGAGGTGGACGGGGCAACGAGGTCAGCAAGGATGTCCTGCACCGGCTCGTTCCGTCAAGAAAGAGCAGCAGAAACCGCCCAGCCGTCGCTCTGCTCGCTCCAAGCGGCGAGATGAGGAGCGACGACATCGGCTGCGCTCGCTCCAACTCGAGAACGCACCTTGCTGCCGTACTGGCCAATGTCTGCACGGGGGAGGAGCGTGGTCAGTCCAGGCTCGTGCGTAGTAAGCTCGAGGAGCGGAACGCACCGAATCCGATAACGCTGGTCATGGTGGTCGTGCGTGGGAGTGAGGAGGAGGAGAGCGAGCGGGCGAGCTCTCGAGAAGGTGATGGCAACGTCGCACCGCGGCTCTCGCTCGAGGCTAGTTCGTGTGGCTCTCGGTCGACTTGCGAGCTACTCAGATGACCCTGCATGGCCTCACTCGAGCGTCCAGAAAAGGAGGCGCCGTCGACCGTCTCGAGAATGGCGGTGAACGGCGAAGAAGCTTTCGTCTCGCCTCTCTCGGCGGCTCGGTGGGTGCGTGGAAAGCTGCGCAGAGGTTGCGAGGACTGTATCAAAGTAGAGCGACAGGCGGACTAGTCAAGAGGGAGGAGGAAGACAGAGGGGAGAGGGGGTTCGAGCCACTGTGAGGGAGGCTCGCAGGGAGGGGGGGTATCTCGAGGGCGGTACGGCAAGGGGATTAGGAGACCTGGTCAAGCGAAGCACTGCGTCGTCGTCGTCGTCGTCGTCCTCCTGCGCCCTCCCCTCCTGGGCGCCGTGCGGCCGCCGCGTCAGGGCTCCTCCCTCGACGACCCTCCTCCTCCCTCGACCTCGCCCGACCGGTGCCCCGGCGGCGACGGCCACTGCCCGGCACGGTCCTGCGCGTCGTACCCACCGCCGCCGCCGGCCTGCGAGTACTGCACGCCGTCCGAGTAGCTCCTCAGGTGCGGCGTGCCGCTCGCGCTCGCCGACCCGCCGCCGCCGTTGACGCTCGCGCCGAGGTGCGGGCTCTGCTGCTGCGAGTGCGACATGTGCGGGCTGTGCTGCAGGTGGCTGTGCGTGCCGTAGTGCCCGCGCGGGACGCCGTACGCGTCGTCGGCCGGGTACAGGTGCTGCTGCTGCTGGCCGCCCTGCTGCGGCGCCGACGAGCCGTAGTACTGCCCGCCGCCCGAACCTGAGTCGCCGCTCGCGCCTGCGCCTGCGCCGTACGCGCCGTACGAGCTCGAGCCGCCGCCCGGGACCGGGCTGTGCGGGTACACGCCGAGGTGCGGGCTCGCGCTCGTGCTCGCGACGGGTCCGCCGCCGTGCCCGAGGTGCGGGCTCACGACGGCGTGGCCCATGTGCGGGTTGCGCTGCTGGTGCGCGTGGTGCCCGAGGTGCGGGCTCGGCGCGAGTTGGTGCCCGACGCGAGGGCTCGCTGCCGACGACGAGGGCCCGCCGCCGACCTGGGCGTGGCCGAGGTGCGGCGTCGAGTTCGGCGAGCGGTTCGGGTCGGTGCCGTCGTCGTCGGTCGGCTCGGTGACGGCAGGAGGGAGGGCCATGGGCGCGCCGTCGGCGCCGATCGGGTAGTTCGCCGACTGCGACAGAGGGCGGCGCCGAGTCAGGATCTCGTGCGGGTGGAGGGGAGGGAGAGGGACGCACGTATTTCGACATGATCTTCTTGAGCGCTGGACCGAGGACCTTCCCACGGGAAGACCTTGACGTCCTTCTCGATGTTGCGCGGCTTCGGGTTGGGGAAGCCCATGATGAGCTTGAAGAAGGGCTCGGCGTCGGGCTTGCTCTTGGACACGGTCTGCGGCTTGAACCCTTCGATGTTGCGGCGGATGCGGTTCTTCTCCTCGACCGTGAACCGCGAGCCGACGAGCGCCTCGAGGAGGTAGATGGCGTCGACGCTCGTGACGAAGCACTCGTTCCACTCGTCGCGGAAGATGCACGAGATGACGATGGCGTTCTGGACGTACTCGCTCTGGGCGATGGGGCGGAATCCGACGTTGATGACGTTGCCGTCCTGCTGGGGCCAGAACTGGATCAGGCGGCGGCGGTTGGTCCACTCCTCGTTGCTCCAGCCCATCGCCATCGTGTTGAGGTCGCCCTGGAGCTTGAGGATGACCTTGTGCGACAGGGTGGCGCCGTAGCCGTTCTTGGGCGCGTGGATCTGCGACGTCCGGATCAATTCGGGCTGCCGAGGGTACGCGCCGGCGCCGCCCATGACGACGTGCTGCTGCTGGTCGTCGACGACGCCCGGCGGCGGCTGAGCTCCGGCAAACGCGTGCTGCGACAGCGCCGGCGACGGGTGCATGCCGGCGTGCGCAGCGTGCGCGCCCCACTCGCCCTGCGACCGCGCCGGCGAGCCGTGCACCGACCCTGCGCCGCCGCCGCCGCCACCGCCGCCGCCAGGAGCAAGGTGCGGGCTGCGCAGGCCGGGCGCCTCGCGCCCGCTGACGAGGTCGTCGCCCGAGCGCTTGAGGGCGCCGAGGCGCGAGCGCTCGGGCGTCGCGGGCATGCCGCCTGCTCCCGCCGACGACGACGACGAGCCGCCGACGTGCTGCGGGTCCCACTCGCCGACTATGCACTGCTCGACGACGGCGTTCGATTCGGTGTCAACGCTCTGGACGTAGACCATGGCGCGCTCGCCCGGGGCGCTCATGGCGCTCCTCGCGGGCACGAACGCCGTCAAGACAACGAACGCGTCGTCCTCGTTCGGGCCGGCCGACATGCTCTGCCCGACGCCGTTGCCGTCGATGGCCTGGGCGCGCGTGAACTTTGTCGGCGCGGGTGCGTGGCCGAACAGGACGGCGAACCGGCGGTTGACGCTCGACGACGGCGACGACGACGACGACGGGTGCAGGCCGGTGCCGCCGAGCGCAGGCGAGCCCGTGCCGAACGAGGCTGGGTGGCCCGTGACGGGCGAGGGACGCGCCGAGCGCACGGCGGCGGCGTCGAGGATGACGGTGACCTGGGTGCCCTCGTCGCCGCGCTGAGGCGTCCACTGGACGACCTTGAGCGACGGTCCGAACGGCGCCGAGGACGGGGCGGACGAGGCGCCGCCAGCGTCGGGCGTCACGACGCGGTCGGGAGGACGAGGCATGGCCGAGGTGGACGGGTGGTAGCCCTGCCGAGGCGCGTCGAGGCTCGTCTGGCGGCTGTGCGGTGCGCTCGCGGCCGACATGGCGCCACCAGGCGCCGGCTCGAACGTCGTAAAGTAGGCACCCGCGCCGCCGCCGCCGCCGACGAGCGGGCTAGTCGGCTGCGAGTGGTGGCCGGCGCCGGCGCCGCCGACGAGGGGCGACACGAGGTGGTCAGTGATGGGCGGGAGGAGGTCGGCGCTCGTCGAGGCCGATGGGTCGTACGCGCTGCTCATGGCGCCGTAACCCGGGTAGGCCGAGCGAGGCGGGGCGTGGTGGCCGTGGGCGAACGAGGGCGAGTTGGGCACGGTGCGCGCGCCTTGCGGGACCGAGACGTACGAGTCGTAGCTGCTGCTGCTGGCCTTGGGCTGGTACGAGTCTGCAACGCGCGCTCGAGACGTGTCAGCCCTCGTTCGTGCCGCCGCGAGGCCAAGATGCGAAGGGAGGAGGAGGAGGAGGAACGGACCGTCACGGCTCGAGGCGACGAACGACATGGACGACGGCCAGGGGGTGACGCTGTCGTGGATCTTGCAGGCTGCAGTCGTCCCGAGGTGGACCGGCGCGGGTAGGGAGAGGGAGGGCGAGAGGGGAGGGGGTCAGCGAGGCTCGGTCGAAGGGAGGGCTGCGGGGCGACGGGGGACGACGGCACGACGAGGGAGGGGTGCGGGACCGGCGGGAACAGGGTACTGGATCCACAGAGGGGACAAGGCGCACCTTGGTCGCGGGAGGAGCGGTGCCCGGATCGGAGCGAGGGCGGCGAGAGGCCGAGAGGCGCGAAGGTGGGCGGCGCGTCGGTTTGGTCTGCTGTCGGGAGCTTGGTGCTGGCTGCTCGTTCGAGGCGAGTCGACAGTGGGGCCGGGCGAGAGTCGGGCGGTGCGACAAGGTCGGAGAGGCGGTGGCCGGAGGGGGGGGAGGGAGGGGAAGGGCAAAGAGGCTCGTCGGAGCGGCCGAAGACGACGACGACGATGGCGACGGGGCGGGCGGGCGAGTGTTCGCTTCCGAGCAGAGCTCGCAGCCGGGCTTGAGTCCTCGTGCAAGTGCTTGCTGGCCGTCCTGGATAGAGACACAAGCTTGTTTCACGGCTCCTCCGCCTTTTGTCTCGACGAGCGCTGGCCGCCCTCCTCGACCGCCCCTCGAGAAGCGGCTGACGCTCCACTCCGCTTCCGGCAGGTCGGTGGGCACCGCAATCTAGCATCCCTGACGTCGCGTCTTCGAGGCCGGCCTCGCCTCGACGCGTGCCTCGCTCGTACTCCCAGGCTCGCTCCCCTCCTTCCCTCTCCTCGCCCTCGTCCCCTCGTCTCTTTGCGCTCACGATGCAATTGTCGGCACCACTTGATCGACAAGGATTTGCTGTCCGCCCGCGTTCCTGTCGCTGCCGGCCCGAGAAAGCTGGCCTTGGCCGCAAGGGCCCGTGCGTCGGGTCACTGCAGCTTCTCACGCTCAACTCGCCTCGGTCGCTGCGCTCACGTTTAAGATCTCGTCCGTGTGTCCGAGAGAGAGCTGCCCACCTGGACCGGCGCTCTCGTACTTCCACTGCTCGAGCTCGAGGGCCGAGCGTTGCCGCTTCCTCTCTTTCCTATCTCCCCCTTCGACCGACCTCGTCGTTCCCCTTGCCGCTGTGCGCAGCGGACAAGTGCGCGCTCTCTGTTCGTCGACTTGCCCACTCTGCACCTGAGTACATACAAATATAATGCTCGACGGCCCGGCTCTCGCTCGGAGATTCCCTCTCTCTCCGCACGAAGGTGACCTTCCCAGCTCGCGCTCTTGCCGGCGCTGTGGGACCGCGTGCGGCCTCGCCGCCCTGTATCGTCATGCGCAATGCTCTCGAGAGGCTGGCGCACGAGAGAGCTCGACGACGCAGCCGCCCGCGGCACCTGCGAGGGCGCACGAGCCCGCCCTTCCTTCGTCTTTGGACGGCGCGCCCTCGAGCCGGCGGGTCTGATCGACGTGCTCCGGTTCATTGGCAGGGCGACAGCGTCTGGTGGAATGCCGCAGAGCGCTTTCAGAGACTGTGGGCTCGTTGGCCGCCGTGCCGCCGGCCGGCGAGAGAAACCTGCCCCGGCCTCGTCCCTCTCCTCTCAACCGCTCGACCCGGGCGAGCCGCCTTCGACGTCGTCGACGCTCGAGAACGCTGCGCGAACCGTCGTCGGTGGCCCTTCTCGTCGTCCCCTCGGCGACGCCGGCCCTCGCGCGTAGTTCCGGGTGGCGCGCGCCGGGGCGGTGGGCAGAGGACCGAGCGAGAAGGGGACGACGACGCTTCGTCGTCCTGGACGGCGAGTCGAGGCTCGTGCGCGCGCTCGAAGGACGCGCCGGGCGTGCGCGAGGAGGGCGAGGCCGAGAGCCCGTCGGAGAGGAGCCGAGACGGGGCTTGAGCGCGCGCGGACGGCGCGCTCGAGTCGCTCGGGCCGCCTTGGCTCGCTCACTTTGGACAGCGTTTCGCAGGCAAGCATGAAAGGTCGCAGTGAGAGCGACGGCGAGAAAGCGTCGCAGCATGAGAGAACGCGGAAAAGCTGGGAAGGAGGGAGAGGAAGAAGAGGAAGAAGAGGAGGAGGAGGAGGTCGGGCCGCAGGCTGCGGAGCGCGTGGGCCAGAGTACAGAGTCAGACTCTCGCGGGGAGGCGCCGACCACTTGGCAGCACGCGCCTCGCGCGCCTCGTTCTCCGAGAGCCGGCCCCTCGTCGCCTCGCTCCCCACCCACGCGCGCTCGACTGCTGCCCGGCCACCAGTGCCACCACCGCACACCACCGACACGCGCCACCGTAGCGCACCCCTCCCTGCACGCGTCCTCGTCCTCGCGCCTCGTTCCCCCTCCCCCCTCTCCCCCGCGGCGACCAAACACCGCCCTTCATCGCCCGACCCATGGCGAGCCTCGCTGCGAGCGCAGGCTTGAGTCGGTCCACCAACCGCTACTCGGCACTGCAGAGCCTCATCGCCGACCAGGACACCGAGATCGAGGACGAGTTGGCGAGGTGTCAGTCGCCTCTCTCCCTTGGGTCCGGCTAGCGGTCTCGTCGAGACTGGGGCAGCAGCGCGTCGAGGCGGGCAGGGGTCGCAGCCACAGCGCAGCACCATGCTCGCCGCACGAGCGGGCCCCGAGTCGCGCGACCTCTTGCACCACCCGACTGACCCTCCTCTCCGTGCATCGCTCGCAGCCCAGAAGCGCCTGCGCGACCTCAAGGCCCGCATCTCGGCCCAGAGCAAGAAGAACTTTGTCCTCGAGCGCGACGTGCGGTACCTCGACAGCCGGATAGCGCTCCTCATCCAGAACGTCCGTCGCTCGCCTTTCCCTCTCCCGAATCCAGCCTCTTTGCCGTGAGCCGCTACTGACTCGTCAGACCCTGCAGCGCATGGCACTCGATGAGCGGGAAGAGGTCAAGGAGCATCTCGAGGACGTCGAGGAGGGCGAGGAGACCGACATGGACGAGCGGCGGCAGCAGGTGCGTCCCTCCCTCGCGCCCCTTCCCCCTCGTGCCCCCCTTACTGACGTCTCGTCGTGCAACAGCAATACTCGAACCTGTTCTTCCTCCTCCAATCGGAGCCGCGACACATCGCGTCCCTGTGCCGGCTCGTGTCGCTCAGCGAGATCGACACGCTCCTCCAGACGGTCATGTTCACGCTGTACGGCAACCAGTACGAGTCGCGCGAGGAGCACCTCCTCCTCACCATGTTCCAGGTGCGTCCCCTCGTCCCCTCCATCTAGTTCTCACAACGCGCACAACTGACCCTCCTCGTGCTCTGCAGTCGGTCCTCGCGGCGCAGTTCGAGACGGCGACCGAGTTCGGCTCGCTCCTGCGCGCCAACACGCCCGTGTCGCGCATGATGACGACCTACACGCGTCGAGGCCCCGGGCAGAGCTACCTCAAGGGCGTCCTCGCCGAGCGCATCAACAGCCTCATCGAGCACAAGGACCTCAACCTCGAGATCAACCCGCTCAAGGTGCGTCCGCCCTCCCCTCTCTCTTTCCGTGCGTGAGCACGATCCCTGACGAGAACGTCGTCCCTCAGGTCTACGAGCAGATGCTCAACTCGATCCAGGACGAGACGGGCGACCTCCCCGAGGACCTGCCGCGCAACGTGACGCCCGAGGTGGCGGCCGCCAACCCGGACGTGCAGAACATCATCGCGCCGCGCCTCACGATGCTCATGGAGATCGCCAACTCGTTCCTCCTCACCATCATGAACGGCATCGAGAGCGTCCCGTACGGCATCCGGTGGATCTGCAAGCAGATCCGCAGCTTGACAAAGGTGCGTCGCTCGCGCCTCTCTCTCTCGTACGTCGCAAGTGACGCACAGACTGACTCGAGCGCGCCGCGCCGCACACCCGCAGCGCAAGTACCCCGAGGCGACCGACTTTGCCATCTGCTCCCTCATCGGCGGCTTCTTCTTCCTGCGGTTCATCAACCCGGCCATCGTCACGCCGCAAGCCTACATGCTCATCGACTCGCTCCCGACGTCGGCCAAGCACCCTCGGCGAACGCTCACCCTCGTACGTCTCCCTCTCTCCCTCCCTCCTCTTCCTCCTCGTCGGGCCCCGCCTCTCGTCCCTCCCGACTGACCCACCTCTCTTGTCGCCTCGCGACAGATCGCCAAGATGCTGCAGAACCTCGCCAACAAGCCGAGCTACGCCAAGGAGGCCTACATGATGAGCCTGCAGCCGTTCGTCGACAACAACAAGACGCGCATGAACCAGTTCCTCAACGCCCTGTGCGAGGTGCCCGACTTTTACGACACGCTCGAGGTGTGTCGGCGAGCATCCACAGGCCTATCTCCTTCTCGAGCCTTGCTCGCTTCGAGGTGCAGATGCTGATCGGGAGATGCTTGCGTCGCAGATGGACCAGTACATGGCGCTGTCGAAGAAGGACCTCCAGATCAACATTACGCTCAACGAGCTGTACAACACGCAGAGCCTCCTCATCCAGCACCTCGACGTTCTCGTGCGTCCCTGTCTCTCCTCTCTCTCTCTCTCGCCGCGGTCCGCCTCGCCCTCGGTCTGACCCTCTCGTCCCACGACGCAGGCCCCGAACGACAAGCAGCACCTGCGCATCCTCCTCGAGGAGCTCGGGCCGGCGCCGGCGCAGGTCCCGCGCAAGGAGAACCGCGCCGTCGAGCTCCCGCTGTACTCGCGCTGGGAGATGCCGATCCAGGACATCACAACGGCGCTCATGGCCGAGAACAACGTGACGCAGAACGACATCCTGTACCTCGAGACCAAGAGCATCTTTGTCCAGCTCATCCGGTCGCTCCCTCGACTCGCCGAGCGCCGGCCGATCCAGCTCCCCGTCGTCGCCGAGACGGCCGCGACGGCCAAGGACGCGACGCTCGTGCGCAAGGGCATAAAGGTCAAGGAGATGCTGCGCGAGCTCGAGGAGCTGCGCCTCGCCGACCGCCGCGACGGGTACAAGCTCCTGACGGACGAGGTCGCCGCCGAGCTCGCGCACCTCGGCAACCTGCGCGAGAAGGTCGTCGTCGAGACCAAGAGCCTCGACAGCGTGTACAAGACGATCTGCGACCACAACGCGTACCTGAGGTCGCAGCTCGAGCAGTACAAGGCGTACCTCCAGAACGTGCGCCAGACGAGCGCGACGGGCAAGAAGGGCCAGTCGGGCGGCGTCGGCGTCGTCACGGTCGCGGGCAAGGAGGCCAAGCAGGGCAAGGGCACGACCAACATGGGCCCGTTCAAGTTCACGCACCAGCAGTTCGAGAAGGACGGCATCATCATCGAGACCAACGTCCCCGAGAACCGGTGCGTCCTCTCTCTCCCTCTCTCGCTCGGTCCCGGACGTCTCTCTTCCTCGCCCTGCACGTGCCCGTCCTGACACTCTGCATGTACCGTCGGCTCACAGACGACCAAGCATCTTCTTCCTCGTGTCCTCGCCGTCGCCTGGAGCCTTCCTCATCGCCTTGCACTAGTGCGTCTCTCTCTTTCTCTTCCCTCACCTTGCCTCTCTCGCGCACGTCGGCCTGACCACCTGCACGTGAGCAGCAAGGGCCGCGAGAAGGCGATTCTCGAGATGGACCTCAAGATCGACGACCTGCTCGAGAAGAAGAACCAGGGCGTCGAGCAGCTCGACATGGAGTACGGTGCGTCGTCCCTCTTCCTGTCACTCTCTCTTTCAGGCTCCTCGTCGCCTGTGACTGGGACTGACGTGTAAACCGAGCGCGCAGTGAGCCTGAACGTCTCCAAGGTGCTCGCGCTCCTGAACAAGTGCGTCTCCTCGCCTCTCCCGTTTTCATACGCCCGCCTCGCCCGTGCCTGCTGGGCAGCCCGACTGACACTCTCGTCGCACCTGCAGGACCTTCCAGCGGCGCAAGTAGCGTGCCGTCCGCCTCGTCCGTCGCCGCTCCGGCCTTCCCCCCTCGCATCCGCCTAATCGCCTCGTCATCGCGCTCTCGACGCCCCAGATTCCCCTCTCTATCGCTCTCGCACCTCGTCACCCGTATCTACACTTTCTGTGCACCTATACCCCTCTCTGTCCCGTCCCACCCTGTACACCTCTGCCCTCCTCGACCCGCAGCCTGCGGCTGTGCCGCTTTGGCCCCGAGACCTGCAATCGGCGTGCCCCTATTTCTCCAGCTGTCTGCAATGACGCTCTCGAACGATCTCTCTAACTAGCAGACACGGTAGACGAGAGACTCGAGCGAGCAGGCGACGAGATTGCGTCGCTGCCGGGTCGGTCCGGCCGCCGGGCGACGTCGACTCGTCGGCTTACGCTCCTGCTTCCTCCCTCCTCGCTCGCACGCCTCGGTACTGCTGCTTGCATCTCGTGGCTGTCACGCAGCCATGCGAGGGCTTGCCCCCTGTGCCCTGCAGGTGCTCGTGGCTCGCTTCCCCCGCCGCCTCGCTCCCGCGCTTCCCTCCACGGCTGCATGTCTGCGCGCCGCCCTCGTTCAGGCTCAGGCGGGCTCGCTCCCGAGACTGGCTGGCAGTGGCGAAAGGGGCACAGGCTATGGCTGCGCAACGGCGGCTCGCTCGACGCGGGACACGCTGCACTGCATCGACCGTCGACGAGCTGGCGGTCGACGCGGCAGCGACGCTCAGCGGGTCGGATCCGCTGCGCACAGCTTGCCGTTCTACGCCCCCTGCCTCTCGGAGGACAGCTGGGCGGGTCCGAGCTTGTACAACGAGGCAGGCGGGGCAGGCTGGCGGCGCGCTTCACCGCGCAGGCGGTCCCGCACTGCTTGCTCGCTCGTCCCGCTTCGTCTAATGCGCCACTCGCGTTCGAGCGGGACTGTCGCTCGATGTCGAGCGGCTCTGCCTGTGCATCGGAGCCATACAGATCCTTGAGCAGCCCTTGCGCCCTGACAAGCGGCTCTCGCTTCCTCTTTCCTTTGCACCTCTCCTGCGCATCGGCATCTGAAGCGCATCGTGCTGCGACGCTCTCAGTGTCCGCTCGACGCACTCTCAATCTCGGACCCGAGATGCTCTGGTATGTCGTCGTCGCCGTCGTCGTCGCACTCTCGGCGACGCCGGCGCGCTCGGCGCCGCTTCCTCGCGAAGGCGGCGGCTCGAATCCCAAGAACCCCGACGACACTCGATCGACGGCGCCGTCAGCTACGGGTCTCTTCGACCCTATCGCGGCGGCGCTGTCGAGCAGGCTCGCCCAGATCAGCCTCGAGGTCGGCAGGCTCCCCGTCCTCTCGCTTCCGAGCGTACTCGTACAGCTCAAGACGCCCAGGGTCAAGGTCGTCGTCCCCTTCCGAGTCTTCACGAACGCCAAAGGTTCGTCTGCCGTTCCCCTCGCGCCCCTGTCGGACTCGCCAGGCGCCCGCACTGACCCTCTCGCCCTCGTCGCCCTCGTCGCCCTCGCTCTCGGGTCCGCCCTCACAGCGGCAAAGCCTCCTCAATCTCGGCGAGCCGTCGAGGAACGAGCCGTGAACCCGAAATGGCCGAAGCCGACGTCGACGACGAGGACCACCCGCGTGTTCGGCTCGTCGAGCGTTCCCGTCAAGGTTCCCGTCGCCTCGTCGCCGCCGCCCGACAATCCCAAGCACGTGTTCGCGCCGACGCCGGTTGTCAAGGTCGTCAGCTACACGTTCGCGATGCCGGGAGGAGGCGCGACGACGGTCATCGAGGCGCAGGGCTCGTGGTCGCATCCGGGGAGGCCTGAGCGTGCGTCCTCCTTTCGCTCTCGTTCGCCTTCTCGTCTCTGTCTCTCTGACACTTTGTCATGGAGGCAGAGACGAGGACGAGAACCTGACTGTTAGTGCATGAGGACGTGCGGGACCGCAGTTCTGAGCGAGCCGGCGCGCTCGTTTCTCTTCCCGTGGCTGCTGGGTCGGGCCGTTTCTCCTGTGCGCGAGCTCGAAGCTGCAGTGCCATACTTTGTCCTCCCTCTCTCTCTTGCTCTCGTCGCACGCAGTCCGAGAGAGTGTGTGTACAGGCGATTTGACAAGCAGCGAGTTTGTGGGAGTGGCGGGATGAGGGCGCGGTCGAGAAATTAGAGGGGCGAGCGGTGCTAGATCGTGAGAGGGACTAGGCGAAAAGAGACAGAGAGAAGGGTCTGTTGATAGAGAGGGAAAGAGGGAGAGAGGGGAGAGAAGACGTGGCGGACGGGCGAGCTGTGGACGACGAGGGGTCAGGCGAGGCTCGACAAAGACGACGACGACGATGGAGAGTGAGAGGGGGCGCACCTGCATCGTCTACTCCTTCTTGTCCGACGAGTTGCCGCCGAGCTGCTCAATGAACTGGGCCGTCGCCGTCGGCTTCTCCTCGCCATCGACCGTCGGCTCCTTGGGGCCTGACGACGGCTTGTCCTGCGCCGCCGTCGCCGCCGTCTGGTCGTCCTCGTCGTCGTCCGACTCCTCCTCGTCCTCGCCCTCGTCCGTCTCGTCCTCCTCGCTCGAGTCCGGCGCGTGATGCCCGCTCGGACCGCCCGAGCCCGCCGCCGCAGCCGCAGGGCCCGACGAGCCCGGCGCGCCACCGGCGCCGCCCTTCTTCTCGACGGCGTAGCCGCTCGCGCCCGTCGCGATGCCGCTGCCGGCGGCCGGGGCCGAGTAGGCGGGCGCGGCCGACGCGCCGTCGCCGTTGTGCTGCGACGACGAGCGGACCGGGGCGCCGAGGGCCGGGGCCGAGCCGGCCGAGGCGTAGGTCGTGCTCGGCTGGACGGCCTGCTGCTGCTGCTGCTGCTGCTGCTGCTGCTGGCCCGACGAGGCGTGGTGGGCGTGGTGGTGGTGGGCGCGGTGGTCGTGCTCGTCGTCCTCCTCCTCGTACTCGCCGTCCGACGTCTCCTCGACCGACGAGCCGCCCTCGTCCGTCTCGTACTCGTCCTCGTCCTCCGAGATGTAGCCCGCGGCGCGCACGGCGGCCGGGACCGGGCCCGAGCGGTCGAACGGCTCCGAGGCCGTGAGGTACACCTTGGACAGCTGCTTGGCGTCGTTCCACCACTCGAGCATCTCGTCGTGCGAGCGCGCGCGGAACGTGAAGCTCGTGTCGAGCGCAAACAGGCCCGACTTTTGCCCGACGTCGCCGCCGATGCTCTTCTTGCCGTCAATGTGGAACTTGTGAGACCGCGACTGGGGGTTGGTGGGCGCGCCGAGGGTGCACTCGGGGAGGAACAGCGACAGCTCCGGGTTCGGGTGCTTGGACAGGTCCGACGACGGGTACTCGTGCAGGTAGCCCGCCGGCGTGAGGATGTAGAACGACTCCTTGTACGTCTTGGTGTAGCGCTTCTTGCGCTCGAGGATGCCCTGGTGGACCGGGATCACCGACGGGTCGTCCTTGCCCGGGTAGTTGATAGTGAGCGGGTTGCGCAGGGGCGTCTCGGGGTCGAGCAGGTACTCGGACCGCGACGCGAACGCGATCCACTCGGTCGTCGGCGCGACCGAGCGCATGAGCTCGCCCATCGTCTGCCACGTCTCCTGGACCGACGACGAGGCACGGGCGCTGCGGGAGCAGAGAGATGTCAGGTCCCGTGCGCCGAAAGACGAACGAGAGGGTAGAGAGAGAGAGGAGGACGCACTTCCACTCGTCAAAGGTCTGCCACGCCATCTGGATCGCGCGCACGACGCCCTCCTCAAAGTGCTCCGAGTTCTGCTGCATGATGATGATGCTCTTCTGGAGGGCGTTTTCCTCGTGGACCTGCTTCTGGAGCTGGCGCGCGACGAGCGAGTTGGTGAACCACGGGTCCTCCTTGGCGTGGACGCCCATGGGCGTGTTCTTGAGCATCGTGATGCTGCGCGCCAGGTCGGTGATCATCTTGGTCGACGTCTCGCGCTCCTTGGCGACCGACGCGGCGAGCTTGCCCGTGTCCTGCTGGATGTTCTTGATGTGCGCCTTGAGCTCGGTGCGGAGCTTCTGCAGGTGCTGCACGATCGAGCCCTCGACCGTCTTGGCGAGGTTGGCGTGGTGGTCGGCAATGAGGCGAGTGCGCTCGCGCTGCATCGAGAAAGGGAGGGAGGCGCGAGTCAGTCAACACGGCGACGAGGAGGGCTCTCGAGGGCGAGCGAGGGATGGGGGGACGCACGACGCCGTAGAAGATGTCCTGGACGCCGCCCTCGCCGAGGAACTGGTTGCCCTCGCGGAACGGCACCTGGATGACGCCGCCCAGCTTGGTGAGCTCCTTTGCCGTGTTCGACTGCGTGCGCGCGAGGAGAGGGCAAGTCAGTCGACGGCTCGCTTTTCTGCAACTCCTTGAGAGGGCGAAGAGGACGCACCTCGATGTCGGCGATGCCCTCAAAGTACGTGATGAGGTTCTTGACGAGGCGCTTCCAGGCCGAGAAGCGCTCGATGAGGATGTCGGACGGGCGCAGCTCGTACGGGCCTGCGGGGGACGCATGGACAGGGTCAGTGAGGTGCTCTGATGTACGTGCGCCGTGCACTCGAGCTGCTCGAGCGAGATCGAGGCGCTCATCGAGTCGCCGTCCCGCCCACCTCCCACCTCGGCGATCAAGGCGACGGCGCTCCCCTCCAGTGTGATAGGGTGCAGGACGAACCGGTGTTCTTCTTGATGAGCTGCGACTGGCGGCTGGTGACGCTGCTCCTGCGCGACTGGCCCGTGTGGCCTGTCGCGACCGAGCGAGGGCGCGAGTGGTGCGACGGCGAGTAGTCCATGCCGGGGCGTTGGTGTGCTGCTGGGTCGAAGTGGAGGGTACGCTCGAAGAGGGTCTCGCGCTGTGCAGCAAGGGCAACAGCAAGCCGGCGAGGTGTTGACAGGTTGAGGGAAGGGGGAGAGCGAGAGAGGCAAGGGGGTGACGCTGGCTCGGTCTCGCTTTTTCTGCTCTCTCTCTCTCTCGACGACAGAACAATGGCGTGCACAACGAGTATACTGCACGGACTAAGGAGAAGAAGTGTCTAGACGAGCGAGAGAGAATACACAATCGACGGTACAACCGGGGGCGCCGACGAGGACGAGGAACAACAATGGCGCGACGAGCCACAGAGGAACCAGACCAACACGTGCGAGCTGTACAAGGGGCACGACTCATGCGATGTAGGGATACGGAAGGCGAGAGGGGAATGTCGAGAGGCGGGAGAGGGTATGAGAGTCGACGACGAGGGGGATCACTTGGGCGCAGGGAGCGGCAGGCCCGTCAACGCGCTGACCTGCTGCAGCAGCTCGGTGAGGCGGTACGGCTTGGTCGCGATCTGTGCGACGACGGCGAGGTCAGTACACTGTCGATCGGGCACGAGCGCGTCGAGGAGAGAGAGGGGGACGCACGTCGTCGAATCCGGCGGCGAGGCACTCGCGCTTCTGCGCGTCGCGCGCATTGCCCGTCACGGCGCACACAGGCTGCAGGTGGACAACAGAGCGTCAGGGTCGGACACACGAGAACGACAGAGAGAGGGAGAGAGAGAGAGGAGGACGCACGTAGCGACGGCTGATCTCGCCGGCCTTCTCGCGCCGACGCAGCTCGCGCACGGCGCTCATGCCGTCCATGACGGGCATCTCGATGTCCATGAGGACGCAGCGGATCGGGTTGTGCGCCTCGTCGGCGTCGGCGCCCGCTGCGGCCGCGAGGGCGGCGTCCTTCATGAGGATGTCGAGCGCCTCCTGGCCATCGCTCGCCGTCGTCACCTCGAAGTTCTGCAGCTTGAGCTGACGCTTCATGACAGAGCGGTTGATGGCGTTGTCGTCCACGATGAGGAGGGAGAAGGGGGCGAGGAGGACGGAGGAGGCAGAGGAAGTGCTGCTGAAGGTTGCGAGGGCGGGACGGCCGCCGGCGCTTGTCGGGCGCATGGACCGCACGCCGCCGGCACCGAGGGTCGGGGTCGGCGACTTGAGCTTGGCCTCGTCGACAGGAGGCGGCGTCGTCCTGGGCGCCGGGATAGCGAACCGGAAGGTCGAACCTCGACCGAGCTGCGACTCGACCTCGATGAAGCCGCGGTGGAGCTCGACGAGCTTCTTGCTGACGTACAGGCCGAGCCCGGACCCGCCGTACTGGTCGCTCTTGGGGTTGGCCTGCGAGAACCGCGCGAACAGGAGCTTGAGCTGCTCGGCGCTCAGGCCCTTGCCCGAGTCCTCGATGCCGACGACGCACCACACGCAGTCCTCGGGCGGCTCGAACGACTGGTCGGGCGACGTGATGCGCATCGCGTTGGACGGCGTCGGCGGCGGGCCGTCGTACACGTCGACGTGGACCGTGACCGTCTTGCGCGTCGAGTCGACCGTGTACTTGAGCGCGTTGGTGAGAAAGTTGTACGTGACCTGCTTGATGCGGCCCGAGTCGGCGACGATCCAGTCGACGGCGAGCTTCGACAGCGACGGGCCCTTCTCGACGGCGAGCTTGATCTGCTGCTGGTGGCTCTGGACCTCGAACGTCTTGACAACCTCGCGCACCGCTGCGACGAGGTCGAACGGGGCGACGTTGATGGTGAGCAGGCCCATGTTGAGCTTCGACACGTTGAGGATGTCGTCGGCGATGCGCGTCTGGTGGCTGGCGCACAACATGATCGACTCGATCGCCTCGACGTTCTCGAGCATCTCGCCGTGGAGCTCCTCGACCGTGGCGCTGTCGAGCGGCACCTCGGGCTGGTGGCGCAGCTCGTCGAGGAACTCGACAAACTTCTCGAGCGAGCCGCCGACGACCTCGGCGTTCTGCCACACGCCGCTGAGCGGGTTGCGGAGCTCGTGTGACGACATGTCGAGGAAGATCTCGGTGTTGCGCCGGTTCTCCTCGGCCTCTTGCGCGCGTTGCTCGACCTCGCGGATGTGGAACGCCTCGACCTCCTTCTGGTGCGAGATGTCGGTCTGCGGGGCGAGGCGAGGTGTCAGGAACGGCCTCGAGAAGACCCTCGAGAAGAGAGAGGGGAGCGAGGGACGCACGATCGAGCCGATGTAGCCCTTGTCGAACGAGCGGACCTCGAGCTGGGCCCAGTTGCCCGCCTTGTACCGGTACTCGAACGTCGACACGGGCTTGTCGGCGCGCCAGTTGGCGATGGCGTCGTGCCACTGGGTGCGCACGCGCTCGACGTCCTCGGGGTGAATGTCGGCGTCGAACTGGTCGAGAGGCGCGTCGGTCGGGTGCTGCGAGATCTCGAAGTACCGCGGGTTGACGAACTAGAGATCGGACAAGGAGGAGCGTCAGGACGGTCCGAGAAGTCACGAAAGGAGAGAGAGGGGGACGCACGACCATCTTGCCCTCGGTGTCGCACTGGAAGATGCCGACGGGCGAGACGAGCGCGAGCGTCTGGTGCTGCTCGGCGAGCTCCTTGAGCTTCTTCTCGCTCTCGATGAGGGCCGCCGTGCGCTCCGTCACGCGCCGCTCGAGCTCCTTGCGCATGTGGCCGAGCTGCAGGTGGACGTTGACGCGGGCGAGGAGCTCGCGCGCCTGGAACGGCTTGACGATGTAGTCGTCGGCGCCGAGGAGGAGGGCGTCGACGCGAGCCTCGGACCCGGCTTGGGCCGACAGGAAGATGACCGGGACGAGGGACGTCTCGGGGTGCTGGCGCAGGGCGGCGAGGAGCTCGCGGCCGCTCATGACGGGCATGGCGAGGTCGGTCACGACGATCGAGACCTCGGGGTGCGCCTTGGCGTACTCGAACGCCTCCTTGCCGTTCGACTTTTCGACGACGGCGAACGCTGCAAAGGGAGGGAAAAGGTCAGGGACGACCTCGAGGGGCGAGGGGAGGGAGTGGGGCGACGACTGGGACGCACACTTGGACAGCGTCTTGCCGATGAACGAGCGCAGCTGCGCATTGTCGTCGACGACGAGGCAGACCGTCTTGGACTTCTCGAGGTTGAACACACTCGGGAGCTGCTCGACGTCCGAGGCGGGCCGGCCTGCGCCGCCACCGGTGACGACCCGCTTCTCGTTCGACGGGCCCGGGTCGCTTGACGGGGGCGACTTGCCCTCGCCGTCGACGCGCCAGGACGCCGCGTCGTTGATGATGGCGAGCGACTGGGCTGCACGCGGCGGAAGCTGGATCATCTCGTACGGCTCGTGATTAACGACCTCGTCTTCGAGGTGGGCGTGACCGCGTGGCAGGCGGACCGTGAACGTGCTGCCCTCGTCGACCTTGGACTGGACCGTGATGGTGCCGCCGAGCGCCTTGACGAGCTCGAGGACGAGCGACAGGCCGATGCCGGTTCCCTCGAACGACCTCGCCGCCGAGTCGACGCGGTGGAACCGGTCAAAGATACGGCTCATGTCGGCGTCGTTGATGCCGACGCCCGTGTCGGCGACCGAGACGATGCCCTCCTTGGCCGTGAACGAGACCTTGACCGTGACGCGTGCGCCCGGCTTCGGCGGTGTGTACTTGAATGCGTTCCTGCAGACGGCGACGACCGAGAGAGTCAGAGCGGGTTTTGCGTGCGAGTCGCCAACTCTGAGCGACGAGGGGAGAAAGAGAGGAGGAAGGCGCGGGACGCACCCGATGAGGTTAAAGATGACCTTCTCCCACACTTCGTCCGACAGGTAGAACTGGGACGACTTGGCCCACTTGTCGTCGTCGATCTCGACGTTGTACTCGATGCCGCCGCGCTCGATGGCCGAGCGGAACAGGGCGGCGAGGTCGGCCGTCCTCGGGCCGAGGAGCGTCGGGCGGTAGGTCGTGTTCATCTTGCCGCTCTCGAGCCGGCTAAAGTCGAGGAGCGTGTTGACCATGTTGAGGAGACGGTGGGCGTTGCGCTGGACGACCTCGAGGCGGTCGCGGTCCTCGGCGTCGAGCGTCGCCGACTTGGACAACAGGACGTCCTCGAGCGGGCCGAGGATGAGCGTGAGGGGCGTGCGCAATTCGTGCGAGATGTTGGCGAAGAAGGCCTGGCGGGCGTCGTTGAGCTCGGAGAGCTCGCGGCTCTTGCGGGCCTGCTCCTCGGCGACCTCGATCCCGAGCAGGCCGGTCGACAGGGTGCGGCTGACGAGGTTGAAGAACTGGGCCATGACGGCGTTGAACGGGCGACGAGGGTTGAGGCCGACGATGAGGAGCGCCTTGGGCAACGACGAGCCCTCGGTGATGATGGGCATGAGGACGGCGCGGCGGACCTCGTCGGGCCAGCCTCGGTGCGGGAAGCCCTTGGTGCGGTCGCCGAGCTCGCTGATGAAGACGGGCTTGCGCGTCTGGAGCGCCTCGATGAAGGGCCACACGGTCGACGACGAGTTGTCCTCGGTCGTCGAGTTGGTGCCGCTCGCCGACGAGACGGACGAGACCGAGGACCGTGCGGGCCCGTCCTGCATCATGGCCGTGTCGAGGAGGACGGTCACCTCGTCGACCGCAGACGGGTGGTCGGTCGGGACGCCGATGCTGCCCTGCATCGTGAGGCGCATGCGGGCGATCGTCGGCGACGCCTCGGCGCCAGTCTGGGTCGTCGACTCGCTCGGCCTGCTCGCCCTCGCGCCGCTCGACATGCGCCCGCCAGTCGAGTCGTTCGAGCGCCCTTGCCGACGTGTCGCACCCGAGTCGGTCGTCGAGCCCTCGCCCTTGGTGCGGCGGCCTGGTGAGGTCGCGACCGCCTCGCACGTGTACAGGATGGCGAACGGGACGTCGAGCGCGTTGCCCGACAGGCCTCGAAGCGCTTTGGCACAAAAGTCTGCGTAGAGGATGGGAGAGAGGCGAGAACGGGAGGGGGGGCAACGAGGGAGGTTAGGACGGCGGGCGAGGCTCGAGCGGCCCGACGACGGCGACGGGGAGAGCAGGACGCACCCTTGAGCGTTCTCGCGAGCTGCGTGAGCTGCGTGAGCTCGCGCAGGGTGCCGAGGCGGCGCTCGGCGATGACGCGAGCCGTCGTCTCGAACGACGGGTTCTGCAGGCGAGGATCGAGGTCAGGCTCGCAGAACGACAAATTCGGACCGGTCGAGGGAGAGCGGGACGTACGACGTAGCCCATGATGCGAGATTGAGAGTCGCGGATCGTGATGTAGGCCCACGAGTGATCTGTGAGCGCAAGAGGGCAAAAGTCAGGCTCGCCGAGTCGACGACGACGACGACGTCAAGAGAGAAGGCGGGACGTACACGTCTCCTCGAGCATGCCGTTGCGCATGATGCAGTTGCAGTGGTCCGAGAAGCTGAGCGTCCTGCCGCTGAAGACCTGGCTCGCGAGCGGGCCGAGGACGTCCCACAGCTCGCTCCAGCCCTCGGCGCCGCTCTTGCCGAGGACGGCCGGGTGCTTGCTCGGGCCGAGCAGGCGCGCGTACGCGTCATTGTAGATGAGGACGTTGTCGGCGCCCATCCACAGGGCCGTGTGGAACGGCGACGCGAGGATGGCCATGACGTGCGAGCGCAGCTCGCCGTTCCACGACCGGATGTCACCGAGCGAGGTTGCGGCCCAGTCGACGCTCAGGATGACGCGGCCGCACGCCGTCTGTGCGACCGTGTCGAGGAACGGGTCGCCGTACACGCGCACGAGCGCGTTGCCCTGCCCGTCGACGCCCTCGTCGTTGGACGCCGACGACGGCCCGTCGGTGAGGCCGAGCCCGTACATCGACTCGGCGTCGGACGAGCTGCCAGTCGACGAGGAGGCGTCGGGGTCGGCGATGCCGCGAGCGGGCGACTCGAGCACGAGGCGCGACTCGTCCTCGGGCCGGTCGAGCTCCTGCTGGAGGAGGCGCTCGTCGAGCTCGGCGTCGCGGAGGCTGCGGCGCTCGAGCTGGGGCTCCTCGTGAGCGACGAGCGAGCGGCGGTCGTCGCCCGAGTCGCTGCGGGTCTTGACGCTCGACAGGGCGCGCTTCTCGGCGTCGAGGTCGCGTCGGCGCTGCTCGGCTTCTTGCTGCGCCTGGGCACGGTGCGCCTCGGCGTGCGCCTGCTCGCGCTCGTGCGCCGAGCCGTCCGAGCTCGTCGAGCCCGTCCGCATGCGGACACGCAGGCGCGCCATCTCGTCCGTGTCCGTCTCGCCCTCGACGGGCTCGCCGTCGGTCCCCTCGCCCTCGCCCTCCTCCTCCGTGTCCTCCTCGTCAAAGCCGAGCACGTCGTCGTACGCGTCGCCCTTGCGGGCGGGGTCGTCGTCGCCCTCGGCCGGCTCGTCCTGCTCGGCGAGGTCGCCGAGGCCCTCGTGGCCCCGGTCCCGCTCGTCCTGCTCCCTCCTCCACTCCTTGTCCCGCTTCTTGCTCTGCCGCCGCCGCTCGCGCTCGCGGATGTCGTTGTCCGACTCGCCCATGCCGGCCGCGCGCTCGTCCGAGCGGCGCTTCTCCTTGGCGGCGCCCGCCCGACGCCGGACCGCCGCGCGCGACTCCTTCTCCTGGACGAAGCCGCGCGGGAGCTCGTTCGGGCGGCCGTTGCGGTGCGCGTTGTCGACCCACAGCTCCTTGAGCTCGTCCGACACGCTCGGCGTCTGGAGCGGCGCGCTCCCGAACGCGTACGTCGGCTCGGCGTAGTGCTGCGGCGGCTGCGGCGAGGGCGGGCCGAGGCCGGCCGGGATCGAGGCGGCGGACGATGAGACGTCGCGTGACGAGGGCGACAGGCCGCGGTCGTGCGAGCCGCGCCGAGACGACGGCGCCGACGACGTCGCCTTGACCGTCCTCGTCGACGAGTGCCGGCGGCTGCTGCTGCTGCCGCCCTGCGGCCCCGACTCACCGAAGCGCTCGCTCGAGCGGTCGCGGGGTGAGCGGTTCTCGGGCGTCGACGTCGTGCCCGACGGGCGGCCGACGACGGTCGAGCCGCCGGACGACGCGCCCGAGATGGACGAGTACGACGTGCTGCGCTGCGTGAGCGGCGGGCGCGACGGCTTGTACCCGTCAGGGAAGGGCGACGGCGAGCCGAACGAGGGCTGGGGCGGGAGCGACAGGGAAAGGGGGCGGGCCGGCGGCGGCAGGTCCCGGCCGGCCGCTGTCGAGGGCGACGGCGACGGCGGCGGCAGGTCGACGTTGGGCTTGACGGGCGAAGGATGCGGCGGCGACGACGTCCCGTCGCGGTCCGTGTCGGACGCACGCACCTTGTGCTCGTCGCGGCGCTGTCGCCGCCCGGCCTCGGCCGCCTTCTCCAACTCGTCGCGGCTCTCGCGCTCGCGCTCGCGCTTGGCCGACGCCTTTGCGCGCGCGACGCGCTTGTCGCGGCGCACCTCGGCCTTGTCGGCCTTCTCCGGGCTGCCCGTCACCGTGACGGGGAGCGGCATGTTGGCGAGGATGGCGGTGCAGATGACGAGGTCCGTGTCGGGCTGGAGCGTCGCGACGACCTGGAGGAACGGGAAGAGCGTGTCGGCGATCTGGCCGACGCCGCGATGCGCGGCCTCGACGGCCGGGTTCTGGTTGGGCGGCGGCGCGAGGTCGGAGCGGGACGACGAGGTGGTCGCGTCGTACGGGCCGGCGGGGAACGGCGACGACGACTGGGACGACTCGTCGTGGTCGTAGGCGTTCTGGGGCGAGTAAATCGGGAGGGCGCGTTTCGAGGGAAGGTTGCGGGGCAGGATCGGGATCGTTGACGGGGCGCCGGCGGGCCCGCGCCGGCCGATGCTGCGGCGCGACGACGCGCTCTGGGCGGTCGACCCGGACGTGGTCGTCGAGCCCGAGCCTGCGGCCGACGAGATGACCGAGCCCGAGCCGGCGTGCGGGCCCCTCGAGCCGTGGGCGCGGCCCGAGTCGGCGAACGTGTGGCGGTGGTGGAAGCTCGAGCCGGGCGGGTGGCGGTAGATGGACGACTCGGGGAAGTGGAGCTCGAGGAGGACGGTGTGGTCGAGCTGGGCGAGCGGGACCGAGGCCTGGCGGGCCGTCTCGGACTCGTTGTTCGGGTGCAGGGGCGCGACGACGTTGGCGAACATGGCGAGGCACTCCTGGAGGTCGGCGCGCGACAGGAGCGACAGGAGCTCGAGCTCGTTGTCGTCGGTGTTGGCGTAGCCGTCGTCGTGCTCGCCGTTGGCCTTGGCAAAGACGCCCGTGTCGCGCTCCTTGGGCGTGTTGCCCGCCGAGGTCGTGGTGCCGTCGGCGTCGCGCACGGCCATCATCTCGCGCCACTTGCCGTTCCTGCGACGAGGCGAGGACGATGTCAGTGACCGAGTCTGCGACGAGGAGAGGGCGGAAGAGGACGCACCGCCACACGGGCGTCAAGAGGTCCCTGAGCCCGAGCCCGCCCGGCACTGCCGGCACGCCGCCGCTGCCGTTGCCCTGCGTCGAGCCCGACTCATTCGACCCACTGCCGCCCAGTCCGCTCCCCTGCGACTCCTCGGCCCTCCTGCCGCTCCACCGGTCCCTCGCCTCAAACTCGTCCTGCTCCCGCACAAGCCGCTCGGCCTCGAGTCCGCTCTCGCGCTCGGCGGTCGCCTCCTCCTCGTCCTTGTCGTCCTGCTCCTGTCGCTCGCGCTGCTCGTACATGGCCTTGACGGCGCCCTCGGCCGTCCGGCTCGGGTCGTGCGATTTTTGCGCGCCGCCCTCGAGGTACGACCCGCGCGGCGCGCGCTGCTTGCGGCCGTCGGCGCCGCGCGAGCCCGAGCCCGACGCGCCGCTCGCCGCGCCCGAGTCGAACGCCGAGGCGAGGATGCGCTCTGCGCGGGCGTGCGCGCGCGGGTTGTCGCCCGCGTCGGCGGCGCGACGCTGCGACGTGCCCGAGGCCGACGAGTGCACCTTGGACAGGCTCGAGCCCGCGAGCGAGTTGGCGATCGAGTAGCGGCCGAGACGGGCGTGGGCGGCCGGGCCCGGCGAGCCGTCGAGCGCTGGCGAGCGCAGTTTGGGCGACGCGACTTGGGACGCCGAGGGCCCGAGCGACGAGGAGTCGGTGTCGGCGCCGCTGCTGTGCGACGCGTCTGTCTCGCCGGACCGGACAGTCGCGGCGGGCGCGGCGGCGGCGCTCGGCGCCCTCGTGCTCGGCGGCGACTCGTCGTCTTCATCGTCCGACACGGGGCTCGGCGTCGAGTCGGGGTCGACCCCGCCCTCGTACTGCTCCTGGCTCGACAGGCCCGGCTTGTTGGCCTGGCGCCTCGAGCCCGTGGCGGCCGTGGTGGCGCCGGGCCCGCCGTACGAGGGGACGGCGCCGGCCCCTGCGCCGGCGAGGTCGACGGGTCGGGGCGCGTGGGGCTCCTTGCGGCCGACGAGGGCGTCGTACAGGGACGAGGCGCGGAGGGCAAAGGCCGGGTGCGGGTACAGGGCGAGGAAGCGCTCGAGGTCGCGCGGGAGCTTGGTCGAGAGGGACGAGGTGCGGGGCGGGAGGCGAGGGCGCGGGTGCTTGGTGCTGGTCGACGACGAGAGGCGCTTGGGCATGGACGGGCGGCTGCTGGCGGTGGGCGCTGGTGCCGGTGGTGAGGACGGTGTCACCGGGGTCGACGAGGAGGGCGAGGGAGGCGCTTCGAGCGAGGCATGTTGGGCCTGTGGGCTGGCCATGTCGCCGTGGGCGGTGGTTGCCCTGGCGAGTCGAGCTGGAGTCTGTTTGCGCTTCAAGGTGAGCGGCCCACGGCGATGGATCGAGACGATGAGGGTGGAGAGCTCACCTCGGCTCGTTCGACTGGCGCTGTGTGGTGGCGGCGGTGCGCCGAGGGAGCGGCGGTGGAGCGTGCTGGTGCTCGTTCTGGCAGCAACGCGGTTGGTAGGGAGGCGAGAGCAAGGCGAAGCTCTTCGATCAGAGGCTGGCGCGTCTTCGTGAAAGCGAAGGTCGAGGCCCTCTTGCTCCCCCCCTCTCGCAGTCGTCCACACTTTGGCGTGCAGTGCTGTTGCGTGCTTTTCCGGTTTCATGCCACCCTCGCACCTCTGCAAAACGAGAAGCAGAGCCGGCGGAAATTGGCGAGACGGTCGTCGATCTCTCGACCTGCTCGCCCCACTTGGCTCTCCCTCAAGCTCTCGCCGCTCTCTGCTCGCTGCACAGCGCACAGCACCGCCACGAGCACCCGGCTCTTACCGCCACCCACCCACCGCATGCTCACCTCGCACGAGCCACCGGCCATGCGGCCCGTCTCGTCCACCCCGGAGCGAGTCGACGTCCCTCTGCAGCAGCCCGACTCCGCCAGTGGCCTCCTCGGGCCCTACGCCGTGCCGTACGACCGCCTCCTCGGCCGGTGGTGCGTCGTCGCGTCCACCCTCCCCCTCTGTGCGCACCATCCCCTCCTCCTCTCGAGCACCTCGACCGATCCATCGCCCGAGCACCTCGCACTGACCCTCCTCACTCGCGGCACAGGGAAGAACAAGCGCGACGTCACCATCTCGTACTCGACCATCGCCGGCGCGCCCCAGACGACGCTCGACGACCTCGTCGAGTTCCGCCGCGAGGGCGCAAAGCCCGGCAGCGCCAAGTGGAGCGTCAAGGGTGTCGACACGCTCGAGACGGACGTCGAGGGCAATGGCGCCAGGTGGAAGTGGTGCGTCGGCTCGTGTTCCCCTGCGCGCGCTGCGTCGAGCGCGCTCCCTCCTCGCTCTCGACTGCGGCGCTAGCAGCATGTCGGTGTAGACGCTGACCCACTCTCTCTCCGCACACAGGCGCGGCAAAGGCTGGCTCCGCATCTCGTCCTCGCACTGGCAGCTCCTCGGCTTCTCGCTCTCGCCCCTCCTCGACGCCCACCCGGCCGCCGCCGCGTCCACCATCCCGCTCGGCCCTGCGCCGACCCCGTCTCCCGACTGGGTCGTCACCTACTTCTCGTCGACCCTGTTTACGCCCGCCGGCCTCGACGTGTACGCGCGGGATCCGCGAGGCGTCGACGAGCGCAAGGTCGCCGAGCTTGTCGCCCAGCTCGAGGCGCTCGGGGGCGAGGTTGGGCGGCTCGTAAAGGGCGGCAAGATGTTTCGGATACCGCAGGAGGAGGACGGGACCGAGGGAGGGGCGCCAACGAGATCGTGAGCGCCGTGCGGGACGAGGGCGTGAGAGGACGAGAGGCTCTCGGCGCTCGAGCCCTCCTCGAGAGGTGGGCTCACGAGCTGCTGGCCTCTAGCTTCTGCTTCTCTTTCTCTCATTTCCTTTCCTCGCTCTGCTCAGCTTCAGCTTCTGCCTCTCTCGGTCACGCGCTCAGCAGCCTCGACCCGCCAATCCAGCCTCGCCTGTTCGTCTACAACCCTCCTCGCCCTCTTCCCCCTTCTCAAACGAGCACCGCCGCCCCAACACCCACCAACACCACCGCCCCGAGCGTCACCGACAGCGTGCCCGCGCCGCTCGACCCGCCCTGCTGCGTCGGCTCGCTCGCGGCCGCCTCCTGCCCGACCGTGCCCGTCGCCGAGGGTGCCGCCGCCGCCGCCGCCGAGGAGGAGGAGGACGAGGACCCGCCGGCGCCGGCGCTGGCGCTGCACTCGGCTGCGGCGGTCGCGATGCGCTCGGGCGCGCACGAGTCGTCGCAGTGCTCTGTCGGGTTAGCGGGCGCGAGGGACGGGAGGGGACGAGAGGGGGTCAGTGCGGCACTCGAGGGGTAGAGAGGGAGCGAGAGAGGAGGACAGACCCGAGCCGCCGTGGCAGTGGCACGAGCACGTGTCGAGCGCCGCGATTGTCGAGTTGGAGCAGTAGTAGTCTCGCACTGCGAGCGTGCTTGCTCGTCGTCAGTTCTTGCTTGTCCCGCTCCGTCTCGCTCTCGGCCCTCGGCCCCTCGCTCGCCTCGACGCTCAAAGCTAGACGCACCAGTCATGTTGGCGCCCGTGTCCGGGTTGACGACCGCCGCGCCATGGTCAATGACGACGCTGCTGCCCGAGTCGGCCGGCACGAGCACGACCTCGGCGCACGACGAGACCGTCTCGCCGCCGTCGCTCGTCGCTTCGACAAAGAGGGTCGCGCGGGACCCGGTCGCGAGGTCGGTCGGGACCGCGACGGGGAGGCACAGGTTGCCCGAGGAGGAGAAGGTGGCGCCTTGGGAGAGGACGGTCGGCTGAGGGAGGAGGAGGAGGGTCAGTGCGCGGGCCGGGAGAAGGCGCGCGCGAGGAACGAGGGGGCGCACAAAAGACGACGCGTCCGACACGGTCGCGTTCTCGGTCGTGCTGCCGGACGTCGCGAGCAGGACCCGCACGACGTGGCCCTCGTCGCCCGAGAGCGAGACGAACGCCGAGTCGGTGCCCCACGCGACGGCGGCGACGCGCGAGCCGCCGCCGCAGACGCCGCCTTGCTCCTGCTGCTCCTCGGTAAAGGTCCACGAGCTCTGGAGGGGAGGAGAGAGTCAGCTCGCGAGGTGCGAGGAGGCGAGAGAGGGAGGTTCGAGCGCACGGTCGGGTAGTTGATGTCGAGGTGAGCCGAGGCGAGGCCGGCGAGAGCTGCGAGACTGGCGAGCGTGCGCATCGAGAAAGGCATCGTCGCAGAGTGAGAGTCGAGGTGAGGTGGACAGAGAGGCGAAAGGAGGAGGGCGGCCTTCTCAAGCTGACCCGTTTTGCGCTTCTCGTCGGCCGCACCTACCGCCAAGAGCTCCACGGCGGTACTCGCCTCCGAGGTCGCACCCAAAGCTTCCCCTCGAGCGGCGAGAGAGATCTCGCATGCGGAGGTGGACCGCCGCCAAGAACCCTTGGTCCGGTCGCCGCAGCCGGCGTGGTCCTCCTCGTCGAGTTTGAAGAGTTTGGCGACAAAAGCGAGCTTGCTGTACGTCCCGCTCAACACTCGTCGACACCCAAACACCAAATGAAGGTCGGCGCAGCTGCTCAAGGCCCGTGCGCCCTCGTCGCCATCCTCCTCGCGTCCGCCGTCGCCGTCTCGGCGCAGTCCACGGCGGCAGGCTCGCTCGCTGCGGGACCTGAAGGTCAAGGCGACTGCACGGCATCAGGCGTACGTCCACTCTCTCCTCTCTAACGTGACGAAGGACCGACTGACGAGGTCCGTGCGCTCGCAGTCGAACGCCTTCCTCTGCTCGAACGGAGCCTTCTGCACCTGGGAAGCCGCCTCATCCTCGTTCGCTTGTGTCGGCGGTACCGGCACGGTCGACACGACGTCGAGCGCCAGTGGGCCGAGCGAGAGCGAGTGCCCGGGCGCGACGCTGCACGAGGGGCACTACGACTGCTCGGACGGCGGCTTCTGCGAGGAGGTCGACGGCGCGTGGGTCTGCGAGGGCGGCTCTTCCGAGGCTGCGAGCGAGAGCGGGACGTGCGTCGTGCATGGTGGTCACACACATGGCGACTGGTGCGTCGTCAGCCCGCTTCCGCTCGTCGATGCCTCCTTTCCTCGACTCGCGCACTGATTTCCTCATCCTTCCGCAGCTCCAACCAGTGCAACGGCATCGACCTGGGCGAGTACAACATGGATCTGCACATCGTGGCGCTCTTGTGCGTGCGCGTCCTCATCCTTGACCCTCTCGAGCTCCTGCACTGACTTTCCCCTCGAGCAGCGTCGTGTTCGTCTCGTCGCTCCTCGGCGTCCTCCTACCGGTCGTCTGTGCCAAGGTGCTGCGAGGGTCTATCTTCTCGGGCGTCTTCTTTGCCGCCAAGCACTTGTGCGTGTCGCCTTCCCTCGTTCCCTCGCCGCCAGATCCTGACCCCTTTCCTGGGGCGCAGCGGTACGGGCGTCATCGTCGCGACAGCTTTCGTGCACCTCCTGTATCACGCCTTCGTGATGTTCTCGAATGCCTGCCTCGGAGAGCTAGCCTTTGAGCCCGCCGCAGCAGCGATCGCCATGGGTCCGTGCACGCCCTCTCCCCTCCTTCGCCCAGCTCGACGTAGCTGACGTGTCCTCCCTCCTCGCCCCCCCGCCCACAGCTGGCACCTACCTCGTGTTCGGCATCGACTTCACGGTCATGCGGTGGCTCAGGAGCCGCGGACCGGCCTCGCCCGTCTCGCCCGCCGCGACGCTCAAGGAAGAGGAATCCGAGGAGGGCGAAAAGCGCACGAGCGACCTCGGGCACTGCCACGGACCGTCGCGCCTCGTCGAGACCGACTATGCGTCGCCGCAAGCCCACTTTGACGTCCTCATTCTCGAAGCAGGCATCATCTTTCACTCGGTGCGTTCCCCTCCTCCTCTCTTTTCCTCTCTTTTCTCTCCTGAGCCAGCGCCAACCTCCTCTCTCCTCTCATCCCCTGCCCTCGTCTCGACAACAGATCATGATCGGCTGTTCGCTCGGCGCGTCGGGCGGCTCGCAGTGGATCCCGCTCTTCATCGCCGTCGTCTTCCACCAGCTCTTCGAGGGTCTCGCCCTCGGCAGCCGCATCGGTCAGCTCGTCTGGCGGGACGGTCAGGGCTGGAAAAAGTGGGCAATGGCGGGCGCGTTCGGCGTGCGTCCCTCTTCCTCTGCATCGTCCAGCATCCTCCTTCAGCATCCTCCTTCTCCCTCCCTTTCGACATTACTCCCCTTCTCCTTCATTCCTGCCTTTCTGCGAGCACCCTACTGACAAGTCCTCGTCGACGCAGCTCATCACCCCTATCGGCATCGCCATCGGCATCGCCGTCCACGCAAGCTACAATCCCAACTCGGGCGCAGCTCTTCTCAGCATCGGCGTCCTGGACTCGATCTCGGCCGGCATCCTCATCTACGCAGGTCTTGTTGAGATGCTCGCGCACGACGTGCGTCCCTCTCGCCCTTCTCCCTCCTCAAATCCTCGTTCCGGTCGGTCCCTGACGACGTTCTTTCCCTCTCGCGCCTCCCTTTTGCAGTTCATGCACGGCGAGCTCGCCCACGCGCGTCTGCCCAAGGTGCTCGCAGCCTTCTTCTTCCTCTTCGCCGGCTCTCTGTGCATGGTGCGTCCCTCTCTCGCACGGACCTCGCCCTTGCAGACGAGCGAGCGCCGCTCACCCGTTTTCCCGCCGCCCTCGCAGTCGGTCCTGGGCAAGTGGGCGTGAGTCGGTCGGCCATAGATGCTGCAAAGTTTCTTTACACGGCCCGGTCAGGTCTCGAGAGAGCACAGCGAGCGAGGCGAGAGAAATCGGCGCTCTGCTTCAACTTGAGAAGGTCGACCTCGGCTCGCTCTTTCTCTCGCTCGCAGTCGGAGGGGCAAAAAATTGACAGTCCACGAGAGGAGTACGCAAAGAACGACGACAAAAGAGAGAGAACAAGAGAAGGGGATGCAGGGAGAGGACAAAGAGGGAGAGAGGACGAGGCCGAGAGGAGGACGAGGCTCGAGAACAGCACTCGCTCCGAGATCTATGACAAGGGGTGGACAGGGACAGGAGGGATCACTTGCAGTGCGCGAAGAGGAAGTCACGCATAGCGAGGTGGTGCTCGTGGCTCTGCGGGATGAAGTGGCCTGCGAGGAGGGGCTCGAGCGTCAGTGTGGCTCGAGGGAGGGCTTGCGAGAGGGAGAGAGCGACAACGTACCGCCGATGTGCCAGAGGACCTTGCTGTTGAACCTGTTCGCCGTGTCGACCTGGTGGTCTGCGAAATAGAAAGAGAGGAGGCGAGGAGAAGAAGGAGGAGGAGGGAAAGAGATGAGAAGAAAGACGAGGAAGGAAAGAGGAAGGGTCAGACGAATCCTCCTGCATGTGTGACTCGCGTCGAGAGAACAGTCAGACGCACTCGGCGGGATCCACGCGTCGTTCTTGCCGATGAGGTGCAGGGTCGGAACGCGGACGGGCGAGTCGAACCAGTGGTCGGCGATCGGGTCGCCCGGGCCATACGCTCCGACGAGGATCGCGCACTTGAACGGCTTGACCGGGAAGACGTCGACCTCGCCGAACGACGAGCGACGGGAGCGCCCAAAGTAGTCGCTGTCGACGGGCGAGAGGGGAGGAGAGAAGAGGGTCGAGGCTGACGAGGGCGCGTTCGAGTACGGCGTCGAGGCGATGCTGCTGTCGGACGACGCCGAGATGGACGAGCGCGGCGACAGGAAGGACGACGACGACGGCGTAGGCGAGGCGAAGGCCTCGTGGAGCCAAGGCTTCTCGAGGAGGGGGAGGAGGTGCGCGAGGAAGTTGGCGCCCTGCGAGAACCCGATGCAGCAGTCGAACGGTCCGTGCTCCTCGATGAAGCTGCGCGTCGCCCGAAGCGCGTAGTCGAGGCACTCGTAGTCGCCGAGGAACGAGTGCGTGTAGTTGCGCGGCCACCAGACGAAAAAGTCCTCCTCGCGCGTGATGGCCTGACGGCCGGCGCTGCCGTGCACGCTCGGGTAGCCGAACACGGCGGGCTGTACAGGGTACGAGAGTCAGGGCGGCTCGGGCTCGTCGAGAGAGGTAGGGAGAGGGACGCACTGGGTCCATGGCGACGCACTCGACGTCGTCGCCCCAGACCTTGCGGAGCTTGCGCATCTTGCCGACTGAGGGTGCGAGCGAGACGAGGGTCAGCGACGGGCGCGACGGCTCGAGCGAGGGAAAGGGATCGACGTACGCATCTGGCTACCATCGTTGCCGAACCCAGGGAGGCAGAGGACGCGAATGCGCGGCGTCGGGGTCGAGGACGAGGACGAGGCGGCGGACATGGCGGCGAGGACGGGCGGTCGTGCGAGAGGGGCGAGCGTGAGGAGGGGGAGAGAAAGAGAGAGAGCGAGAAACGCAGCGAGCTCGCTCGTGCATCGAGCGCTGCACACTCGGTCGGTCGCGCAAAAGCATGCGAGAAACGTGCGCGCGAGCGGCAGGGTTCCCGGGCAGAGCCTCGAGGAAAGCGGGTCGAGGTTGGCGCGCGACCCAGGGTTTGGTGCCCAAGGTGCGCGAGATTGTGGGTTGGCCTGTGGAGCGAGCGGAGGATTAGGCTCCTGCGCTGGCTGACGGGTCCACGAGAGCGACTGGAGCTCGCCGGCCCTGCTGGACGAAGGAAGACCACCCCCGCACCTGGACGAACTCAGCCATCTAGCTCGAAGGGACGGCAGAGTCTCGTTCATAAGCAGGCTTGATGGAACAGAGGCAGAGCTTCGATCGTCGAAGCGAGCGGGCTGCAAGCTTTGCGCGGCGAGCCGGCTGCGGCCAAAGTCGCGAGCCTCGCGCAGGAGAGCTCGTCGAGCCAAGTTGTCGAGCGGGCGCCGAACGCGACGGGGAGCCCGGCCCTGCAGTGGAGCGTGACCATGGCGCGCAAGCTTGTCGAGCAGCCTCTGCACCCAGCTAGTTAGCCCGTAGCCGGCGCGAGCTAAGCCTGGCTGAGAGAGGCGGAGGAAGATGAGGGGCGAAAGGGCGGAGTCGGTGGACGGCGGCGAGCACACGAGGCCACCAGCTCCTCAGCCCGCCGCGCCAGCCCTCTGCTGCAGCAGCAGAGCATGGCAGCACAGCTCGCGACAGCCAGCCGAGCCGCCCTCGCGCCAGCTGCGCTCCTCCAGTGCTCCTCATCGAGATCGTCCTCGCCCGCTCGTCCACACTCCGACACGCCTCTCCAGCTCGGTGAGCACTCGGCGACCTCGACGGCACTAGCTGCGTGATCGCCCACGACTATGCCGAGCGGCCGGGCAAGGTTGCGACGCTGGCCCTCCTCGCCTGCCTCCTACATAGACTTGTGCGCGAGGCGCACGGCGGCCACGGGGCACTGGACTCGAACGTGCGCCCCCAACTTTCTCTCTGCCTACCCTGCGACGCCGACGAGAGCTGACTTGCCGCACCCGCAGCCCGACCCCGACGCACCTCGCCTCGACGCCCTCTCACTCCTCGAGCGTCCTCTCTCGTCTCTCAGCCCGACATCGGCGCCTCGAGCGACCCCGTCTGCTGCGTACGCGATTCCCACGGCGAGATCCGCACCCTCGCAACCGCAACTGCGCCCGACCCGCTCGACTCGCTCGACGAGCAGAGACGCTCGACTCGCTCGACGAGCAGAGACGACCTCGCGTTCATTCGAGCAAGGAGGCGTCTCTCGCGTCGCCCTCTCGATACACCGAGGAGGGAGACGAGCTGTAGATGCAGTGCAATGTATCTATCCGTGTCTACGCGTGCCCGTCGGCGAGGCCTTTGTAGAGATCCGTCTCGAGCTTCTCCCACAAATCGAAGACCGGCTGGTGGCCGTAGGGCAACAGGTTCGAGAAGTAGACGAACGCGAGGTCCTTCTCGCGATCTATGACCCAGAAGGTGTTCTGCAAAGGCTCGACGAAAGCGAGAGAGAGAGGGAAAGAGGCAGGGAGGGTCAGTGCGCGTCGAGAGGACGAGGAGAGGCGACGTCGCACGAGGCTCGAGGGAGAGAGGGAGAGACAGAGAGAGCGAGGGACGCACCGCCATGCCGCTCCAGTGCAACGACCTCGCACTCCTGCCCGACGCGAGCCCCGTCCCCGTGAGCGCGCCGCACAAGCCCCAATCGGCATCCTCGAGCGCCTTGCCCGCCTTGCGCGAGAACGGCTCGCCGCCCGCAAACTGGTCCCTCTGGTACGTCTCGCGCTGCGGCGCCGTCAACTGGGGCGTGAACATGAGGTCGACCGTCTCGCGCTTGAGGATGCGCGCGCCGTCGAGCTCGCCGCCGCGCAGGAGGGCGCGCAGGATGCGCAGGTACGACGGCGCCGAGCCCTTGAGGCCGCTGCCACCGTAGCGGAGAGTCGCTGAGTAGGGCGTCGGACGGCGGAAGGTGTACGGGGCGGCGTCGGGCGCGGGCGCGTCGCCGGGGACGGAGGGAGCGGTCGGGGACGAGGTCGGGGCGTCGGCGAGGTCGATCTGGGCGTCGTCGTCGTCGAACGAGAGGTCGTGGATGTCGAGAGGGCTGCATCGAGAGTGTCAGGCTCTGCTCTTGACGCGAGAGGGAATAGTGAGAGGGACGGACTCGAAGATGTGCTTCTGCAAGTACGAGGCGAGGTCGAGCCCGCTCACCTCCTCGACGATGCGCGTGAGCCAGTCGATGCTCGTGCCGTAGTGGAAGGACGACCCTGGCTGACTGCAAGGTGGGAAAACATGAGTGAGTCTTCGTTTCTGGCTGGCTCGAGAGGAGGACGCACTGGAAGAGCGGGACCTTGTACAGGCAGTCCTGGCGGGCAGATGAGGAGAGAGGTCAGTCGCAGGAAGACAGAGAGTCAAGAGAGACTGTCGAGACGCACTCGAGTCGCGTCCTTGCCGTACGGCGCCACAGCGTGGCCGAGGTGCTTCTCGAGCTGCGGGCCCAACTCGTGCGAGGTGCTGTAGATGAACCTGCAGGGGTCGAGAGGCTCGTCAGTGCCTGTATGATGCCCTGATCGACGACGAGGTCTGTTCGAGAACTCGTGCTCGAGAAGAAGGGGAGGAGGAGGGAGGGAAGGAGGAAGAAGGAGGCGAGGGAGAGAAAAGTGAAGCGCACCCGGACGTGTGCGTGAGCAGCTGCTGCACCGTGACGGGTCGCTCCTGCTCCTCGAACTCGGGCTCGCCGGCGTCGTCAAAGCCCTTGAGCACCTTGAGGTCGGCAATCTCGGGCACGTACAGTCTCGCCTCGCCGTCCAGGTCGACCTTGCCCTGCTCGACGAGCTGGAGGCACGCGATGGTCCCGCAAAGCTTAGTACAGCTGAACAGCTCGAACCGCGAGTCCTCCTCGATCGGCGAGCCCTGGTGCGCGAGGTCCGACGGGCTGACCTCGTTCGTGGGGAGGCGAGCCCAGCCGGCGTGGCCCTTGTACAGCGCCGGGTCGTCGCTCGTCGCCGCGAGCAAGATGGCGCGAGGAACTTGGCGGTACGGGTTGACGGTCGCCTCGCGCACGTGCTGGTCGAGCGAGGCGGCGGTCGAGAGCGGCATGGCGAGGGAGGAGGCGGTGGGGCGGCGGGATCTGTAGCGAGGCGAGCTGTCTCTCTGGGCTCGGCGAGAACAGCGGTACACGCGCTGAGTCGATGGCGCGAGAGAGAGAGAAGCGAGGAGGAGGCGCCGTCGGCTCGCGTGCGGTGAGCCGGAGGCTCGTGTGGGGCCAGCCGGCAGTCTCGCCATTTTCCTCGCGCTCAAAGCCAGGCAAGAGGTGCAGCTCACTCGTCTCATGCGCTCGCGGCAAGATCAAGGACGAAGAGAGGCACCATCGAGCGCGAGTTGTAAGCACGAACTAGTCCAGCTTGCGCACGTACCGCCTCGCCGACCCTCCCGCGCTCGCCGGGCTCTGCTTGGCCGCACCAGCACCCGCCACCTGCTTGACGGGCGTCGCGAGCCCGCCCGACGGCGCCGCCGCCGCCGCGACAGCCGGCACCTCCCTGCGGTCGACGCCCGTCGCCCCCACGTGGGCCTGCTCGAGGCGGCCGTCGGGGCGCTTGTCGAAAACCTCGACGTCGACCTTGTTGCGGTAGACGAGCATCTGGAGCGCGAGGACGCCGTTGAGGAGGGCGCCGAGGGCGAACCCCCACAGGAGGACCGGGTCGGCCGTCTCGGTGCGGGTCGTGAAGACGCGCGCGAGGCCTATCGCAGGGACGGCAAGGGTCAGTGCCACTCTTAGACTCGGCGAGAGGGAGAGAGGGACGAGGGAGGAGAACGAGGACGCACAGCCCGCGAGCGAGTTGAACACGAGGAACGCCGACAGCTGGCCGGTCGAGCCGGCGCGCGCGTTGCTGACGATCTGCGGCAGCTTGCTCGAGAGCGAGATCGGGATCGTGAGGGTCTGGAGCCACGCGAGCGTCGGTGGGGCCACGATTGCGGTGGACGACAGGGCGTAGGCGAGGGTCGAGAAGAAGAGGGCGAGCGGGACGAGGCGCGGGACGGTCGGGCGTGCCGAGTACGACGTGATGAGGGTAATGAGGACGGCCTGTGGGGGTTTCCTGAGTCAGTGAGAGGTTCGGCGTGTTCGAGGGGGCGAGAGGGAAAAGGGGCAAGGAGAGGAAGGCAAGGTGGGAGGGGGAGAGAGGGGAAATTCACCGACGCACGTTCTGCGCGAGGAGGAAGACCATCTCGCCATAGGTCGAGAACGGGAAGCCCGACCGCAAGTTGTACGCCACCGTGATCCTGTGGACGGGAGAAAGAGAACGATCAGCTCGGCCTGCGTTGCAGGAACGAGATGAGATCGACTCCTCGGACGCACGCAGTTGCCGCCGTGTCGAGGACGTAGCTGCTCAAGCTGAGGCCGCGCGCCGAGCCGCTGTTGACGACGGTGAGGATCTGGGGCACCTTGAGGATGGCGCCGCCGGCGACCATGCCGAGCCCGAGGCCCTTGGAGAGGGCGAGCTTGAGGCAGCGCGTGTCGGCGAGGTCCGTGTTCCAGACGAGGGTCGTGTAGCACTCCTGTTGCGCGCGCAGGGGGGGAGGGTCAGGGAGGGTGCTCGTGCCGGCTGGTGCACCGCCGAGCCGTGTCGACGACGGGGAGCGCGAGGTCGAGCGAGCCTCGCCGGGGTGTGTCGCTCGGCCAGCAGGTCGTAAGGAGCCCGTCAGGGCCTGCACCATTGTCCACCGTCCGCCCACGCGTCCCTGCAGCACGAGAGACGCCTCATCGCCTCGAACCGCCGACGCTTCGGTTCTCGCCTTCGCTCGACCTCTCCAGCTCGCCCAACTGCCACCTGATGAGCGAGAAGGGACGCACCTGGCCCAGGAGAGCGACGAGCGGGTCGCGCACGATGCCGGGGAGGTTGCGGGTGAGGGGCTGGAGAGCTGCCATCTTGTCGACGACGAAAGCGCGCAGGGGGAACGCGGGCTGGTGCGGGTGGTCGGTGGAAGGGTAGAAGCAGCAGGGAGCCAGTGCAGAGCTAGGCGAGCCGAGCTGGCGGGTTGGTGCTGGGTCGAGCCAACGCGCCGCGCCGGACGAATCTCTCCCTGAGTCTCCTTCGCACCGCTCCGACTCTGCGCACCGGCGCACGCTGCACCGCACTACCGCTCCGATTCCGCAGCGACCTCGGCCGCCAGCTCGCTAGACCGCTCCCGCCACGCCCAGCTCTGTGCGCGCACCGGTTCTCGTTCGCCTCCTCCGCCCCGCTTCGCTCGCGCGCTCCTGCCTGCACCGCACGTGCCAGGCGTGCGACCGCGCACAGACTCAGACTCTTGCTCGAGAACTCGACGGTTGCGGATCCGGCCGGGCACGGGCTCACGGCGCGAGCGTTCCAGCTGTGCGCCGCGCGCCCTCGGTGCGCCCGCGCTTCCAGCACCAGTGCGGCGAGCACGCGGGCCTTCGCGGGCTCCACGAGGCTCTCGGCACGATGGCCGAGCTACTCGGCGCCGGGACGCCGCGCACCGTCGTGCGGCGCTCGCTCGGCTGCGAGCTGGAGCAGCGTGACACGCGCCACCGTGCAGCACAGGTGCGCCTCTCCTTCCTCTCTCGCCCTGCACGATGTCGAGCATGCACTGACTTTCACCGTGCCCGCAGCCTGTCGGTCGGCGTCGCTCCTCCTCGTCCACCGCTCGTCGTTCGCGTCCGCCGTCGCGCGAGGTCCGCGCTCCCCTCGCTGGAGAACGCGCTCTGCGTCTGCGCGCACATGGCTGTGGACACGAGGCCAAAGGGCCCTCTTCTGCGCCGCGTCTGCTTCGCTCTCGTTGCGCTCGAGCGAGCGACGAGGCTGACTCGGTCGAGCGAGCAGGTGCCGCACCTGAGCTTGCGCTCTTCCGGGTCCTCGCACAGCAGCGCTCGAGCGAGAGAGCATGCACGCGAGCGTCTCTTACGTGCAGGCGAGGCGGACGCGGCGGTGCAGAGACGGCGGGTCGAGCGCGAGCGGGTCGAGGAGGAGGTGGTCGTGGCGGCGGCCGTAGCTCGCCTCACAGCCCAGCTGAGCGCGTTTGGCGCGTCTTTCTGAGCTTCCCGCTGCTCGTACAGTACCGTGCGCGCCTCTCGCGGCTGTCCCGCGCGAGCGCCGCGAAGTCAATGCGGGCTCGAGCCCTCTGACGCGGGGAAGCGGAGGGCGCTCGCTCTCTCGCTCTCACCACCCACTCGCACCCGCGCTCGCCGCCGCGCACGATGGCGACCAGCACTCGCCCGAGCCGCAGGGCTGCGCACACGGTCAGCTACGCCGACGCCGACCCCGACTCGAGCGAGGACGACGAGGCCATGGCCGCCGCGAGCGATGAGGACGACTACGGCCGCAAGGGCAAACGGTCGGGTGCGTCGCCTCTCACTGCCCTCTACAGCACCCTGGGAGCTGACCTGCACCACCCGCACGCAGCCTCGAAGGCGCGCAAGAAGCAGAAGCTCGCCTCGGCCAACGACCTGAGCGACTCGTCCGACAGCGACCACGACTCGAGCGACTCGGGCGCCCTCAGCCCGCAACAGTTTGCCTACGACCGCTCGCGCAAGAAGGACGTCGCCACCGCCGACGACAAGGTCAAGTACGCCGTGCCGCGTGTCAACCCGGTCAACCGCCTCCCCGTCGAGCTCCTGCTCAAGGTGCGTCCCTCCTCTCCCTCCTTCTCTCTCTCTCTCTTGCCCACACACGAGCTAACGCAGTCAATCACATCCAGATCTTCTCGTACCTCCACGCGGCGACGCTGTGCAGCCTGTCCAAGACGAGTCGCTCGCTGCGCCACCTCCTCACGTCCAAGACGTTCACCTCGCTCTGGCGTCACGCCATGCGCCCGCACATCTTCCCCCTGCGCAACCCGCACTCGTCCGTCACGCACCTGAGCACGCCGCCTCGCCCCGCCCCCAAGGTCGCCGGCGAGGACGTCGACCTGCGCCTGCTCGCGTCCGTCATGTTCGACACCGAGTGCGCGTACTGCGGCAAGGACGTCGAGCGCAGCGACCGGTACCTGCTGCGCACCCTGTGCGCCGAGTGCCGCACCGCCAACCTCGTCGTCTCGACTGAGATCGCCAAGGGCAAGGACAAGAAGCTCCAGGACCTGCACCCGGCCACGATCCAGTGTGTGATCCCGACCCTGCGTGCGTCCACCTCTCTCTCCTCGGCCTCGACGAGCTTGGGACGACGGTGACTGACTCTGGCCTGTCGTCGCTCGCAGTCGCTCCGTACGACGTCAAGTGGCCGCGTTCGCGCCAGTGGATCCTCACGGCCGACCTGTGGGCCCAGTCCGAGGTCCTCGAGGAGCTCCAGATGGAGGACGACGGCGACGTCGAGGGCCTCGTCAAGGAGGGCGTCAACGTCAAGGACGTGCACAAGACGCTCGGCCGCGTCAAGCGCCTCAAGCGCCGCACGTGGTACCGCAAACCGCAGCAGAAGGGCGCCCAGGAGCTCGAGGACGAGCTCGTCAAGATGTACACGCCGCGCGTGCAGGAGTACGTCCTCGAGAGGAAGGCCCTCCTCAAGGACCGCAACGCTGTGCGTCCTCGTCCTCTCTCGTTCCTGCCCCCTCCTCCTCCTCCTCGTCGTCGAGGACCGAGCGCCTGACCGTGCCTGTCCTCCCGCCGCAGCTCGCCCAGTGGATCATGAGTACCGCCGACGCCCTGTACGACGAGCGCGACCTCGAGCGCGGCGAGAGCGCCACGTTCAAGGCGCAGGTGGGCCTGTTCCGCCGCGAGGCCATCCTCGAGCGCATCGGCAAGGAGCGCGTCTTCGACCTCGGCACGACACAGCGCAACAAGCTCGCGACGTTCGCCCTCGCTGTCAAGCCCGAGCCGCTCACCGACGACAGTGCGTCCCCTCCTTCTCTCTCTCTTGTACCTCATCGTCGCCGTCGCCGTCGATGGCGGACCAGTCACTCACGGTACCTCCTGGCCCTCGCAGTCTGGCTCGCCATCAAGGGCGTCATCTACGGCTTCATCGCGCGCGACGTCGCGCAGAACATCTTCACGCGCGTCGGCAAGAAGCTCAAGGACGACTGGGACGAGGACGACGAGGACGAGGGCCTGTTCAAGAAGCCCAAGTCGGTCACCAAGGCCGGGTGGGCCTACGTCCGCCCCGAGCTCGTCAAGGTCGCCAAGGAGTACGAGGTCAAGAAGGAGGAGCACGCCGCCGAGCAGCTCAAGCTCCAGGCGCTCGCGCCAAGGGTCCGCGCCTGTCGGCCACGGCCGTCGCCGCCAAGGAGCCGTTCTTCGTCGAGCGCTTCACCAAGTGCTTCGCCATGACGTCGAGCAAGCAGGCCGGCTGGACGATGCCTCGCTACGCCGAGTGGCGCCTCCTCCCGACCGTCGTCGACCTGTGGAACGACCCCGACTTTGCCGTCGACACGTCCGAGGCCGGCCGCGCCGACGACCTCGAGGCGTTCGGCCGGGACCACCTCGAGACGGTCCTCGACGAGATGGCCGACTTTGCGCTCGAGACGCGCGCCGAGGCCTTGCGGTCGATCCTCGCAGCGACGACCGACCTCGGCGAGGACGACGACGCCGTCGCCGCGTTCGACGCCGTCGCGGCGCTGCACTTCGACGGCGAGTACGGCGACCCCTTTTTCCTCCGGGCGAGCTCGTACGTGTCGTGCGCCCAGTGCGCGACCTTTTTCGGCCCGCTCAACGACGTCCTCAAGCACGTGCACCAGGCGCACCCGCTCTCGTCGCTATACGTCCCGGCGCTCCGGCGCGACGCCCGCACGGTCGCCGAGCTCGGCCCGAGGGTCGACCTGTCGCTCGAGGTGGCGTGCGCGTGGTCGGCCATCCTCGAGCTCGCCCAGCTCGACGACACGGACGACGGCCTCGTCTCGGACGCCCAGCTCGACGCCGCGTTCAAGGGCAAGATGCTCCTGTGGGAGAACGGGCCTCGCCGCACGAAGAAGCGTGGACGGTGGGCGGACCTTGTGCGTCCCCTCTCTCTTGCCTCTCTCCTCTCTCCCTCTCCCCTTCTCTCCCTTTCTCTTCTTCTCCCTCCCTCCCCATCTCTCTCTCTCATCCAGACACCTCTTCAGTCCATCCACTGACACTGCTCGGACCACGTCATGCAGCTCTGGCGCGTCACGCAGGCGGCGCGCAACGCGCACGAGGACGGCGACGTGCTCGACGTGCCCGTCATCGCGCTCAAGAACCTGACGAGGCGCGAGCGCCTCTACCAGAGCTGGGGCCGCGGCTGGTGAGCGCGGTCCGGACGGGCGAGGGTCAGGGTGGCGGGACGGCTTGAGAGGCGCTTGTGCGGGACAGGGTCCGAGCGGCGCTTGTTGTACCGAGCGAGGGCTTGTTGAAACGCTTTTTTTCTCTCTCTGTTTCGTGGCATCTCCTCTCGCCAGTCCTCGAGAGGGACAAAGAGGGGAGCTGGCGATACAGGGACTCGGGGCGAAAGACGGACGTGTACAGACAAAAAGACGGACGACCACCTCCCCCGCCGCTCGCTCACTCGAGCAGCGCCCTCAGCTCGTCGGCCTCGCGCCTCGTGCGCTCCCTCACCCTCTCGCGCTTGACCTCCTCGGCGTCGTCCTTTGTCGGCGGGAACGCGCCGAGCCGCTCACTGCCCGAGCCGGCTGCGCCTGTCGACGCAGTTTTGCGGTGGCGCAGGCCGTCGGCGCCGAGCGGCGCAGGGGCGGTCGAGGGCGGCAGAGAGGCGCAGATGGCCTGGAGAGTGCTGTAGAGGACCTCGGCGTCGGCGAGGAGCAGGTCGAGGTCGAGCGTCTGCGAGAGCTCGTTGATGTACTTGAGGATCTGCGAGCGTGCGAGGCCGACAGGGTCAGGACAGAGCGCGAGAGGTACGCGAGAGGCTCAAAGAGAGAGTGTGCGCACCTCGTCAAACTCGCGCAGGTACCGCACGATGACGTCGCGGTTGGCCTCGAGGATAGCGAGCGCGAAGAAGAGGTGGAAGTGGGTGCCGAGGTAACTATGGGTCCAAGGCGGGCGCCGAGGTGAGCTCGGGTTTGGGACGAGGGGATCGAGTCGAGGAGGAAGAGGACGGACTCGGTGTAGAGGACCTCCCAGAGACGGACCGTGTCGTCGAACGACAGCTCGCGCTTGAACGACGTGAGGAGCCACCGGAAGCAGAAGAAGAGGTTGAGCGAGCCCGTCTCGTCGACTGCATGCGCGCACAAGAGGTCAGGGCGACGTCGAGGAAGGACCGAGAGAGAGAGAAAGGGAGCGTGGACGCACGGTGACGGTACAGCCCTCGGTCCATGACGCGCAAGAGCTGCTGCAGCTGGCTCAACTGGAGCTTCATGCCGCTCTGGTCCTCGAGGAAGTTGTCGGCGTGACGGCGCATGACGTCCTCGAAGCACGCAAACGCGAGCCACTGCTCGCCCTCGACGACGACGTACAGCGGCGAGAACAGGTCCGACATGCCCTGGACGTAGTTGCGCACGCTCGCGCCGGCGGTGGTGGCGGTCGATGAGACGGCGTCGGCCTCGGCGGCGGTCGAAGTCGAGGCGGCCTCGTCGGCAAAGACCCAGGTCATGAGGACGTCGTGGCACGCCCGGACGTGGCCGTTCGTCGGCGCGTGCGCGCCGGCTTGGTCGGCGCCGTCGGACGAGAAGAGCGGGTGGGTGCGGTCGGTGCGGCGGCAGTCGATCTCGACGCGGTGGTCCTCCTCGGCGAACCGGTCCGTCTTCTGGAGCGCCTCGTCCTCCATCCACCGGCGCTTGGCCCGCTCGTACTCGCGACTGCGCGCCTCGGCGATCTCGACGCGCTCGGCTCGGCTCGATGTCCACGGGTACACGCGCAGGAGGAACGGCCAGACGGACTTGCGGACCTCGTCGCCGGCGAGACCCTGTTCGCGGCGAGCTGAGTGAGTCGAGGGCACGCGGCGAAAGAAAGAGGGAGGAGGGGACGCACGCGCTGGAAGATTCTCCGCCTCGCCTCCTTCTCGTCGAGCAAGAGCCGACCCTCGGCGTCCATCCACGCCCGCCACTCCTCGAGCTGAACCGGCGTCTTGGGCGCCCTCGTGCTCCTCGGCCGCTGCCCGTCGAACCGGTACGTCCTCGCGAGGACGTCAAACACGCCCGTCGACTCACCGAGCTCGTCATCGAGGAACGAGCCGTCGTCGACGCCGTACTCGGCCCGCCGGGCGCGCTCGCCCTCCTCGGCGACGATGCGCGCCCACTTGGCGAGGTAGACCCGCGCCGAGTCGTAGACCTGCAGGCCGACCTAGTGTCAGTGACCGAACGAGAAAGGGAGGGGGAGAGAGGAGAGGGAGAGAGAGGGCGACGCACACCGACTCCTGCCGCGTCGGTCAACCGGCTGACCTCGCCCGGCGCGAGCGCAAACTGGGCGATCGGCTTGGGCACGTGTTTGGCGAGCGGCTTGGCGAGCGGGTGCGAGAGCACGGTCGACGCAGCCTGCTGCGACATGTGCTTCGCGCCCCTCGTGATGCGCGAAAAGCCGCTCAGAACGCTGAACGTGAGGGCGTCGATGCCGCCGCCGTCGTCTCGCCCGCCGCCGCCGAGGACAGCGTCCGGGTCGTCGGGCCACTCGGTCTCGGCGCGAGCGGCGGTGGACGCTGACGCCGACGCCGTGCCCTTGCCCTTGGCGCCGCTGCCGCCGCCGCTCACGGGCGAGCTCTGGTGCAGGATGCTGGTCCTCGCGCGCACGCCCTGGAGCGCTTGCGCCGGCACGTCGTCGTCCTCGCGCGCGGCGGCAGCAGGCCCGACGTGCGCCTCGAGGTCGTCGCGGCTCGGGTTGACGAGCCACACGCTCGAATCGAGCTGCGACCGCACGAGGCGCGCGTGCTTGCGCACCTGCGTGAGGAACGCCTCGCCGCCCCAGCTCGGCGCGAGCGACGCGCGACGCTCGTGGTGGCCGTGCCCGTGCTGGCGCGAGTGCGAGCCGCCGACGCCGAGGGCCGTGACGCGCGCGTCGCGGTCGAGGAGGGTCGACTTGGACTCGTCGTCGTGGAAGAAGAGGGGCGGGAGGGTGAGGCCGCCAAAGAGCGACAGGGTGACGGACCCGACCCACGAGGTCAGGGTCGGGGGCTGGACGTGGAGCGAGTACAGGTCGGGGAGCGGGTGCGAGAAGGCGTGCGACTGGGTGGCGGCGTCGACGGCGAACGAGGGGGCGAGGTGGACGAGGATGTCGCGCTCGTTCTGCGACGACAGCTCGACGAGGACGTAGGCGTCGTAGTCGCGCGTGCCCTCGACGAGCGACTCGGGGACCCACGAGACGAGATGGGCGTCGGTGGCCCGGACGCGGACGAGCGACAGGAAGCCAGGGATGTTGTCGCGCGAGTGCGGCGACGGGTGGAGGTAGACGGCCGACTTGCTCCACAGAAGCTCGGCGAGGTCGGACTCGTCTTGGTGTGGCGGTGACGACGAGGAGGAGGCGGTGCTGGGCTGCGTCGAGGCGAGCGGGTGGCTGTCGGCATGGGCTGGTTGCTGGTCACGGGAGGGTGGGCGTACAGGGTCGGTGCGCTGCACCGACACTTCCACGAGGTCGTCCTCCTGTTGCAGCGAGGGCCAAGTCGTGAGCGAGATGAGCGGGACCGAGGAGGGAGGAGAGGGGAACAGGTCGACGCACAGAGCGAGAGACGAGGCCTGCGTGCTCGGGTGGTGTCCTTGGTCCTCCTCCCATCGTGTCGGGCGAGTATGGCAGCGCGGCGAGAGCGTGGTGAAGAGCGAGCCGCCGTCGCCTCCTCCGAGTCTCGTCTCCCCACCTCGAGTCGCTCTCGCCGTCTCGACCATCGCTCACATTGCGGAGCTGCTTGCGCTCTCGCAGTTCTCAAGCATTGACTGTAAAGAAAGGAGCGCAACCGATAAATTGCACGAAATAGTCGACGCATCGCTCGCTCGCTCGATCCTCCTCCTCCTCGCCCCTGACGACAGCCTCGCGCCCGACTCGGTCCAGCCGTCGACGCCGCCCTCGGGCGTTCAGTACCACCGCTCCTCGTCGGCGTCAAACTCGGACGACGTGCGGTCGTCGTACGCCGTGTTGGCGTAGTGCTGCAGCCACGCCGAGTAGTTGAACCCGCGCAGCGCGTCGGCCGTCTCGGTCCTGCCCCAGGCCTTCTCCATCTCGCGCATGCAGCCGTCGTGGACGCACATGAGCATCGTGCCGAGGAACGACTCGGTCGCGTGCGCTCGGCGCCACCCGCCGCCGGCGAGTGCTGTGCCCTCGACGACGATGCCGGCGCGCTCGAGCGCCTGGAAGGCGTCCGACTGGCTCGCGTAGTCGTCCTCGACCTTCCAAACCGACTCGACCCAGCCGGGCAAAGCGTGACCGGCTGTAGAGCGCGCTCGCTCGTCCCACTGGAGGCCGTTGTCGAGGAAGGACGGGCCGCGGACACTCGCGACGTGGTCGAGGGTGATGCGCGACAGGAGGGGCGGCCGATGGGTCGTCCCGAGATCGTGGAGCATGCGGTCGGTGACATTGGCGTCGAGGCGGAAGACGAGGTGGCGGAGGCGAGGAAGGCGAGCGAGGGTGGGGAGGAGGTCGGCGTCGAACTCGAACCTGCCGAGCTCGAGGCGCTCGAGGCGAGCCAAGTGGGCGAGCCCTCTCGGCGTAACGAGATCGAGGGCCGGTATGAAGTCGACCTCCTCGACGAGGGCGCAGAGCACGAGCTTGAGGATCCCAACGGGCACGGCGCGCAGCACCTCGTCGACCGAAGCTCGCGACTCGAGGCCCGAAAGCTCGAGCTCGACGAGGTTGGGGACGACAGTGAACAGGCTGGGTAGGCGCCAGGACGAGAAGGTGCCGTCCGTGGACGAAAGGTGCAGGGAAGCGAGGCGCGGGAGCGCAAAATGCGGCTCGCGCCACTGAAAGAAGGCCTCGGCCTGCCTGCAGTCCGACTCGAGCTTGATGTGCTCGAGCACCGGTTGGCGACCCAGCTTCTCGAACCAGTCCCGGCCGCTGACACCGCGACGGTAGAACATGGTCCACGGCAGGACGAGCTCGAAGCGTCGCAGCTGGCGGAGCGAGGTCGCGCCATCTGCGAGGACGGCATCGACGAGCTCGCCAACGCCGACGATCCGGAGCTCTCGCAGCCGCGCGAGCTCGGGGACGATGCTGCCGAGACGGTTGCACGCGACGACCGTGGCGTCCCAGTCCCAGTCGAGGTCGGCCTCGCCAAGGTCGACGTCGAGGTCCATGACGATGCGCGCACAGCTCGGGATGCGCTGGAGGAACTCGTCGAACGACTGGAGGGCGCTCATCGAGACGAGCCGGACCCGGCGACAGAGCTGCCGCTCCTGATGAGGACGAAGACGGCGGCACACCGGCCGGCTCGAGGGCGGGTCCTTGCCGTCGTACGCGTGGCGCATGATGTCGTCGAGGAGCTCGTCGGGGAGCTGGAGGAGGCGACGAGGTTCTAGCGGACCGAGAGATGACGACGCGCTGATGAGGCCGCGGCGTTGAAGCTGCGCGAGGAGAGGGTCAGCGGGCGTGGGAGGAGGGGGAGAGAGATGGGGCGCACCTGATGGTCCATGTGCGCGGTCCAGCAATGCAAATAGACCGTGACGACGAGCAGCGAGTGAGCGGGAAGAGCGAGGGCGCGAGCTTCCCCGCCGACTCTGGCGGAGAGCTCGCGGGCGACTCGAGCGTCGAATGGGAGAAGGGCGCTGCACTCAAAGGGCTCCCTCGCCGGCTCACACGCGCGTCGAGAAGTGCGCCGCCTCCTCGTCTCGCTCCGCGGCTGGCTTCGAGTCGCTCTCGAGCCTCGTTCGGGTCGCTTTTTAGTCGCTTTCTGCGGCCGGCTCAAGCTTTTCGGCAACGAGAGGCTGGGTCTGTCAAAGTACGGGTCGGGGTCGAGGGGGACTGGACAGAGAGGAGGAGAGAGCGCTCCCTCGAGGAGAAGACGGCGCAGAGGAAGAACTCGCTCGCGCTGCATTGCCCGACCATGCCCTCCTCCCTGTACTCAGTCACGAGAGTTGGACGTTGAGCCCGGCCTCGTACCCGAACCTGAACGCGTCGGCGCGCTCGTCGCCGAAGAGCTCGCGCGCGCGGTCCCACCGATTTCCCTCGGCCGCCCACAGCAGCGTGGCCTCCGTGCGCACGCGCGCATACGCCTCGTCCCAGTCGAGCGCGCCGAGCGCCGAGCCGTCGACGACGACGCCGTGCGCCTCGGCCGAGCGCAGGGCGGCGCGCAGGCCCGCCTCGGATCCGCCGCAAGGGAAGGCCGGCCCGCTCCAGCCCCAGCGCGGCGCGAGCTCGAAGCCCGCAGCCTCGAAGGTGGACGGGAGCCGATAAAGTCGGTCGGCGAGCGAGTCGCCTCGGCAACGGGCGACGTGCTCGAGGGTGAGGCGGCGCAAGTGCGGCGGGCGAGTAGGGCCGTCGAGGAGGGCGTCGAGGAAGGCGTCGGTGGTGGGCGTGCCGCAACCGAGCGTGAGGGTGTGGAAGTTGGGGAGGGAGTGCAGGTAGGGAAAGAGGCGGGCCGAGTCGAACGAGATGCGCGCGATCTCGAGGCGCTCGAGGCGCTTGAACCGAGCGAGGAAGTCGTCGAGCGGCGACTCGGCTCGAGGGTTGTCGCCGCCTACAGGCCACGTCAAGTCGAGCTCGCGGATCGTCGACGGCGCGTGCTCAAGGACCTCCATATCGTCGTCGGCGCGTGCTCGAGGACGTCCATGTCGCCGACGTCGATGCGCTCGAGGTTGGGCGCGAACTTGCCAAGGAAGGGCCCGTCCCACGGGTAGAAAAAAGGGGCGCTGTCGCCGGTCGTGATCGACAGGAGGGACGGCGAGAAAAAGTCGACGTCGGGGAGGGGCGGCGGCGGGTGTTCATCGTAGACGGCGAGGCGCAAGTCGCGCAGCTTGGGCAGGCGGCTGATCTTGCGCAACCAGCCGATCCATGCGCGTGTGCGCTCGGGGCCCTCGAACATGAGCCCCTCCTTCGGCTCGACGGCGAGGACCTCGAGGCGCTGGAGCCGAGGCGTGCTCGTGCTCGCGCGGATCGGGTCGTCGACCTCGTCGTTGCCAACGACGGCGTCGATCAGGTCGATCTCGACACAATACAGGTGGAGCTCGCGCAAGCCGCTCAGGCGGGAGATGAAGTCGACGAGGGACGCCGTCGGGCAGATCTGCTCGTCGTCCGGGATCGTGTTGGGGTCGGGAAGGTGGTCGACAGGCAGGCGCTGGCCTTGTAGCCACTCGAGAAGATAGCAGACGCGCAGGCTCTCGCTGTTGTCCTCGTCCCTCATGGCGAGTTTGAGCTCGACGACGTTGGCCTCGAGGCCCGGGATGGACGGTGCCGCGCGACAAAGTGCCGCGAGTTGCTCGTAGCCGTTGACGACGATGCGGCGGTAGTGGTGACGGCGCTGGACGGGCTCGAGCTGCCTACACAGCGGCTGAAACGGCGGCTGAAGCAACGGCTTGGTGTCGCCGGCTTGGGCAAAGATGGCGTCGAGGAGCTCGAGGGGGAGGTCGAGGAGGGTCGACGAGGTCGGGGTCGAGGAGGAGGAGGGCTGCGAAGCGGGCAAGGGTCAGAGGCCGTCGCGCGCAGGTTCGGGGACGCGCCAACGTACCTTGTGAACCATTTGCGCGGCGTCTCGAGGCGGATAGAGCGAGAGGCGAGCTGTCGAGCAGCGGGAGGAGCGCAGGCGAGGGCGCGACGGCCGGCCGCAATTCGACGACACCGCGACGGCCTCGAGTGGAGCTGCAGAGCCGCGCGATGTGCTTTGAGGACTCTCGTAGCGTACGCTGTGCTGCACTGAGCTTCCCAGGAGCCGTGCTCCCTCGCTCTCCCTCATCAGGTTTCAGGGTTTCGCACGCTCTCTCTGCTCGCGGCGACGTGGCGGTCGCATCCAGGACAGACAGAAGAGACTATACTGCCCTCTGCGAGCCTCAGCTCTGCCCGCAGTGCATCCGTGAGAGCAAGTCCTGACGTTGCGATCTCGCGCTCCGATCCTGGACTCGCTCTTCCTCCACCACCGCTACACAGCATCCCGCCCGACCACAACCTGCACAAGATGCTCGGAACGACCCTCGCCCGCACCACCGCCCGCGCCTGCGCCCCCGCCGCGCGCCTGCGCCCCGCCGCACCTCCTCCCCACCTCTCCCGAGCATTCGCGGCATCGGCGCTCGTGAGGAAGGACCCGGGCGAGGGCGTCAAGGGGGTGCGTCCTGTCCTGCTCTTCTTCTTCCTCTCTCTTGAGCGAGCGCGCTGACCAGCTTGCTCCTCTCCCTCCACCCCTCCCTCCCCTCCTCGTCCCTCGTCCCTCGACTGTCGACCCGCGGCTCTCTCCGACCCTCGCCGGCAACCCTCCTCCCGCTCTCGCAACCGGGCCCACACTCGACCACGACGGGACAACAGACGGAGACGGTCGGCGAGGAGAACCCGGTGTCGGCGCGCGCAAAGGGCGTCGCAAAGGCGGCCAAGACGGCCGTCGACGGCGCGATCGGGGTGGGCCAGGCGGCGACGGGCGTGCGTCCCCTCTCTTTTTCTCTCTTTCTCGCGCGCGCAGTGTCGACGAGCGAGAAGCGCTGACAACCGCGCACAGGAGCAGAGCTCGCTCGGGACGGACAAGAAGCACCCGGGCCCGGACTCGCGCACTCACATCGAGGCCGAGGAGGAGAAGGGCCGCAAGGAGGGGCTCGCGCACAAGGGCGAGCAGCAGGGCGCCATCTGAGTCGACGCCCGCTCGTCGAGTATGTAGCATAGCCGAGCGAGGAGGCTGGAGCAAGTCGAACGGCGTTTCTGTGTCCCGCGAGCCTCTGTCGTTTCTGTGTCCCGCGAGCCTCTGTTTCTTCTTGCGCGAGAGGTACGTCGTTGCAGATGCGAGGGTGGGAGTACTAAGGTGCGTGGAGCGAGAGCTGTCTGCGAGAGTGGAGACCGTGAGCGAGGGAGATCGATGAGAGGAGGGAGGGCGAGGAGACGGACCGAGAAGTGAACCCGTCACCGCCTGCTCTCATCCTCTGCGTCCCTGATGCGCCTCGCGATGTCTGCCGGCACGCCCTCAAGATCGCCTTTGAGCTCGCGCTGCTGCTGCGCCGGGACGGCCGTCGCCATGTGCGGCGGGCGCGGCGGGAGATGCCGCTGCTCCTCGCCGAGGTAGAGGCGCTTGTACAGGAGGAGAGACGACGCGACGAGGAACGGGGCAGAGATGATGATGGTGCGGATCCTGCGGGTCGGAGCGGGTCAGAGAGAGAGTGCGCCGAGGAGAGCGACGGCCCGGGGAGGAGCAGAGGGAGGGAGACGGACCTGCGGCCGTCTGGGTTGAGCGGTCGGGGCATCGAAAGAAGAGCGTGGAGAGTACGTGCGAGCTCGTCGGTACTGCCAGCGAGTCCGAGAGCGAGATCCAAGGTCAACTTGCAAGTCCGAGGTTACGACTTGGTCCGGCCTTCCTCGTCGACCGCACACTGCTCAAGCCGCACTCCTGCGGCTCTCAGACTGCTCCAAGCACCTCGCACAACACGCCGACCGACCCGCACCTAGACTCGACCGCGCCCTAGACCCGTCCTCGCCACTTCTCGCCCGCCCGGCTCACCTCAGCTCGCCATCTCGCCCGCCGTCAACGAGCTCGGGGCGCCTCAATGTCGCTCTCGTCGGGCTTGGTGAGTCCCACGCACACTTTCTGGACGGTCGAAGGGGGGCACAGCGACGAGGGGCGAGGACGCGAGGGCGGCTCGAGGCGGGTACGGACGAGCGAGGCGATGAAGCACTTGCCCTCGTCCGGGCGGGCTGTACTCGCGGCAGAGCACTCGAGCACAGTGCGCGAACGAGGGTTGCTGACTCTCTTGCCCCCTCCCCCCTTCCTCGTCGACGTCGCACCCCGCGCACTCGCTTGCAGACCCTGACCGACCTCTCCGACTACCTCGCACCCTCCCAAGCATGCATCAAGCCCGTCACCTACATCCCCGAAGAGCCCTCGCCCGCCTCGCTCGACAAGCCTGCCGCCGCAGCATCTGTGCGTCCCTCCCTCCCTCCCTGTCCTCCTCCTCTCGCTCCGACTCGTCGCGCGACACTGACGACGCTCGTGCACACAGGCTGAGATCATCATCGGCGAGGACTCGAGCCTGTACGAGAAGGGCGCAGACGGCGACCGCGGCAAGAAGCTCAAAAAGGCCGAGATCACGCTCAACGACTGCCTCGCGTGCTCGTGCGTCCTGCTCTCGCTTCCTGTCGGTCCCACGTCTCGTTGCGAGCTCTGGCACTGACTCACACCCTGGGCGAGTCGCGCAGAGGCTGCATCACGTCGGCCGAGTCGGTCCTCGTCTCGCTCCAGTCGCACGAGGAGGTGTACCGCGTCCTCAAGGAGCAGCCTGTGCGTCTCGACGTCGTCCTCGTCTACGGCTGCGTCATTGCGCCGCAGCTGCTGACTCGAAGGACTCGTCGAGGATGCAGGACCTCGTGCCCATCCTGTCGGTCTCGCCGCAGTCGGTCGCGAGCCTCGCGGCGCTGTACGACCTGTCGCTCGCGACGACGATGAGGGGCTTGCGGCGGTTCTTCAAGGAGCGCCTCGGCTTCCGGTACGTTCCCTCGCTCTCCCGCTCTCTTTGTTCGCCACGGGCGAGAGCGCGACGACTGACCTCTCGTGTGCCCGCAGCCTCGTCTTCGACACGACCTTCCCTCGCGCCCTCTCGCTCGCCGAGACCCGCCTCGAGCTCCTCGAGCGCCGCGCCCACTTCCACTCTGCCTCCCCGTCCACCTCTACTCCCTCGCTCCCGGCCCTCTTGAGCGCCGCGACCGCGGCCCTCGCCCCGCCGACCAAGCTCTCGCCCGCGACGTCGGCCGTCGCGCCCCTGCCCGTCCTCAGCTCGGCGTGCCCCGGGTGGATCTGCTACGCCGAGAAGACTCACGGCGACCTGTTGCCGTTCGTCAGCGGCGTCAAGAGCCCGCAGGCTGTCGCCGGCGTGCTCGTCAAGGGGAGGGTCGTCGCCGGTCGACTCGGACTCAGGTGCGTCCGCCGCCAACGAGCCCCTTTCTCTGCGATCCGTCTCTCGCTCGCCGAGGGCCCGTACTGATAAGAGGTTCTGATGCGACTGCGCGCACAGGCCCGACGAGATCTTCCACGTCGCCGTCATGCCGTGCTACGACAAGAAGCTCGAGGCGTCGCGCCCCGACTTTGCGACGGCGCACCCGGCCCCCTCGACCTCGACCTCGACCGAGCCGATCAGCGTCCGCGACGTCGACCTCGTCCTCACGACGGGCGAGGTCGCCAAGATGATTGACGACGAGGGCGTGTCGCTGCGCGCGCTCGCGAGCGGCGGCGAGGGTGGTGGCGAGCGCGAGGGCGAGGGCGAGTACGACGGGCGCGACGAGGAGGCGTTCTTCCCGTTCTCGGACCTGCTCAAGCCGCCGAGGGGCACGTCGTCCGGGTCGTACGTCGCGACGGCGCTGTCGGCGCTCCTCTCGCAGCAGCAGGCCGACTCGCCCTCGCCCTCGCCCTCCTCTTCCGCCCTCGGCGCACCCGCCGGCCCGTCCCAGCCTCGGCCCATCACGCCCGCCGACCTCCCCTACCTCCGCCTCGACGCCAAGCTCGTCCGCTCCGAGGACTACATCGAGTACTCGCTCGTGCGTCTCTCGAACCCCTACTCGCCCCCTCCGTCCTCCTCCTCTCCTTCCTCCTCCTCCACCACTACCACGACCACCACCGCCACCATCGACCCGACAGCCCGTCCCGCCGAGCGCGGCACCGTCGTCGCCCGCGCCGCCAAGTGCTACGGCTTCCGCAACCTGCAGAACGTCGTGCGCAAGCTGTCGCGCGAGGCCGGCGTGTCGCTCTCACGCGGCGCAGCCGGGCGCGCACCGCCTCCCTCGGCGGTGCGCCGCCGCACCGCCGGTGCGGCAGGAGGAGCAGGTCGAGCGGCTGCGGGAGCAGGAGCCGGGCAGGGCGAGCCCGACGTCGAGTTCATCGAGGTCATGGCGTGCCCCGGTGGGTGCGCAAACGGAGGAGGGCAAGTCCCGCCACCGCGCAACAGCGCCCGGGCGCGCCGCGCCGGCGAGAGCGTCCTCGTTGGGCGCGCGCGAGCGCTCGACGACGAGGGCATGCCCGACGTGCAGACCGACGTCGTCGAGGCCGAGCTCAAGCTCGTCGCCGACCCGGGTGCGTCGGCGGCGATGTGGCTCGGCGAGAGGGAGGACCGCGTGTTGAGCGGCAAGGAGTGGGTTGCAGAAGTGGAGCGGCGGTACTGGAGCGGCGCGGGTGAGGAGAAGGAGGAGGAGAAGGAGGAGGGCGGCGCGCTCGCGCACCTGCACCCGAGCATCAGGCCGTACGTCGCCTTGCTGCCCTCGGCGACCGAGGCCGACGCGCTGCGGCGCGTTGTCGACGAGCTGCTCGGCGGCGGCGGCGGCAGCGGCGCAGGCGAGGTGGACGGCGAGGGTCCGAGCGGGTCGGCCGCGACGAAGGACGAGCGCCGGCGCGAGCTGCTCCGCACGAGCTATCGCGCCGTGCAGAGCGAGGAGGTCAACGGGCTCGCCGTAGTGTGGTGAGCGCTCTGGAGCGCGCGGCGCGGGTCCGGGCGAGAGCACGTAGAGCATCTTGCTCGGCCCGTCTTTCGCAACCTCGTCGACCTTAACTCTCTCGGTTCGCGAGCGAGAAAGGCAGCAAGAGAGAGAGAGAGTCTGTACGGGATACTGCTATTGATCAGTCGTCGGTAGTTGTACGGGTTCGAGGCGCACGACGCTCGCTCGTCCTCCTCCTCGCCATCCTTCTTCTCCTCGCCGCCACCTCTCGCAGCTCCTGCTCGTCGTCGCCTGCTCCTCCTCCACGTCGTCGCTCCTCCTCCGCTCCTCCCGCCTCTTCCCGTCCTCGCGCCCTCGCGCCGCAAGCTCAAGCCGCCGCCGCGCCCGGCTGGCCGTGCGAGTACGACCCGGGATGGAACCTGCGCTCGACGTCGCGCACGGCCTGGCGCGCCGCGTCCGTCACGCTGCGCTGCCTGCCGTGCGCCGTCGGGCGCTGCGGCTGGCTCGGGCGGCGGACGACCTCGGGCGCCTGCTGAGCGGGTGCTGGCGCGGTTGCCGGTGTGGCCGCGGCAGGAGGGGGAGGCGGCTGGAGCGCCTGGGCGGTGCGACGCGCGACGAGACACTGCAGGGCCGCGAGCCACTTGATCTCGTCCTCCTCGCTCGGGGCGCACACGAGGAACGTGCGAGAGGGGGTGATGATCTTGAACGTGTTGTCGGGCGTCGGCCCACCGCTCGACGACGAGGACGAGGTGGGCGCGGTGTCGTGGGGGGACGAGGTCGAGGACGAGGTGGGTGGCGAGAGAGGCGAGGAAGGTGGGCCCGAGAGCGAGGGCGAGGACGGGTAGTGAGGGTGCGAGGGGGCCTCGATGGCGTCGACGATGGACGACAGCGGGATCTGCCGCGCGTGCTTCGTGTCCTGCATCCCAGGGCATGGACGCATCAGTCCCTGTCGGCACGGAGCAGAACACGAGAGAGAGACAGAGAGCGCCGGGACGCACCATGTGCGACTTGGAGTACATGAGCATGCCGCTCTGGAGGACGAACCACCGCTTGCGCCAGTTCTTGCGCTTGCCCTGCTTGGTCAGGTAGCCCGAGAGGATGACCTTGTTCGGGTCGTCGACCTGCTGCGGCGGCGCCGGCTGCTGGACCTGCTGGACCTGCTGCTGCTGCGCCGGCGCGGCGACGAACGGCGCCCCGAGCGCACCCTGCCCCTGCGCCGCCGCCGTCCCCGGCACGACCCGCTGCGCCTCGACGTACAGCGGCTCGTCCTCCTCGCTCGAGCTCACGGCGCTCAACCCGCTCGCGCCCACGCCGCCGCCAGCGACGCTCGGCGACACGCTGAGCCGCGTCGCGCTGCTCCCGCTGCGGTCCCTCGTGCGCCCCGGCGTCGACCCGAGCGGCGGCGCCGAGGTGCTGCCCGCGAGCGCGTGCGCAAAGGGGAGCTCGGGCACCGAGGCGAGTGTGTCGCTGCCGCTGCGGGCGCTCGGGCGGCGCGCGGTTGGCGGGCGAGTGCGGCGGTGGTGGTCGACGAGGGAGCGGTCGAGAGAGAGGACGAGGTCGTCGCCGAGGGCATCGGGATCGGCGGC